TTATTTTGGCTTTCGACACTCAAGAACTTGTCGAGAGGCCTCGGATGCTGGATTCTAGGCCTCCAAGAGTATGATTTTGACATCATATACAAGTGTGGCAGAAAGCATAGTGACGCCGGCGCTCTTTCTCGCTGTCCACTATCAGCAGCTTCACTGGGCGTTTCCGCAATAACTTTGCACAACACACCCTCGGAGTCCACGTCTACAGCGGTTTCCCTCTCTTGCCTTTGTAGACCAGCTGCCTTCGGACGACCCCCACGATTTTCCATCTCAACAGCTGGCTGAGCCATACGGTCGGCGTCTTATAGGCTACTCACTGACAGTTCCCGTCCACCGAGGCTCTGTCGCCAACTATCGCAATTTAAGCTAGACAACTCGGTGCTGTGCCACCCAATTTACCATTCTAACGGTCAGCGCTGGGTTCCCGTTCTTCCCCGATCGCTTCGGTTCCGAAGTCCTCAGAGCGCTTTGGTCTGAAGTCCTCAGAGCGCTTCATGACCATCCGACTGCTGGTCACCTTGGTTATCATAAAACCTACGATCGCCTTCGAAGTCAGTTTGATTGGCCAGGCATTACCACTAGCGTAGCTCGGTACGTCGGGTCCTGTACTACCTTCCAATGTAGAAAACTACCAACATTTGCTCCCTGCCGGAACACTACAGCCTCTTCCATGCCCAGCCACGCTATTCGAATTGTAGGCGTCGATCTTTATGGCCCCCTTTCAGTCAGTGCTGCTGGAAACGGGTGGATAGCAAACACCGTTGACCATTTGACACGCTACGCCGAGACAGCATCTGTCACTACTGGTTCAGCTTCCGAGCCAGTATACTGTGGCGTGGTGCTCCACGTGTATTGCTCAGGGACCATGAAGAGCCTTCCTTTCACAACTAGTGAACGAACTTCACTGCCTCCGGAACAACTCACAAGACTGCCTCTAGTTATCATCCCCATACTAACGGCCTCACAGAGCGATTCCACTGCACTCTTGCTGACATGATCGTCGCCTATATTCAACCAGACCACAAGAACTGTGACGTAGTTCTACCATTCGTCACTTTCGCCTACAATATGGCCATTCAGCAGACAACCGGCTACTCACCATTTTATGCCCTGCCGCGGTGGTCTAGTGGCCTACAATACTTGGCTGCTGACCCGCAGGTTGCGGGATCGAATCCCGGCTGCCGCAGCTGCATTTCCTATGGAGTCGGAAATTTTGTAGGCCCGTGTGCTCAGATTTGGGTGCACGTTAGAACCCCAGGTGGTCGAAATTTCCGGAGCCCTCCACTGCGGCGTCTCTCATAATCATATGGTGGTTTTGGGATGTTAAACCCCACATATCAATCAATCAATATCACCATTTTACCTAGTTTACGGATGCTCCCTTACTTCCTTCCTGGACGTCTTTTTTACCTGCAACCCAAATTCATCTCCATCCGCTTCAGAGGAATAGGTTTTACGACTCGCGCAGTGTCGCCAATGTGCTCATATAAATACTTAAGCCCGACACCAATCGAGAAAGCTAGAAACCTGGAGACGAAGTGCTCCTCATGACATCTATTCGCACACCTGGTTTGTTCGAAGAATTTCAGCCACCGTTCATCGGGCCATGCACAGTTATTGAAGAGACTTCACCAGTGAATTATCGCATGACGCCACTTGTAGCTCCAGCAGATCGCCCTTATCGAACTACTGAGGTCGTCCATGTCTTCCGTATGAAGCCCTTCATGCGATGTTCTTTGTCCCCTTGACTTGCCGCGGCCAGGCTGGCCGCTTTCACTTGGGAGAGGGGGGGGATTAGTGTGGGCATTTAGAATATTCATCCTCTTCATCTGTACATTGCTATCATTACCATGTGTTAGTCATGCATCCTCATTGTTGTCGCGTAGGATCATCATCTTGGTTCATTCATCGTAGCTGTCGGCTGCTGGTTCCTCGGGCCTAATAAAGGTCTTCCAAACCAAGACTTCATACCACCTTTATTTGTTTTTGAAAACAACAAGTTGTTAAAATGAGACGATGTGGCGTTATACTCTTCCCCTGTGTTTCCACTGTGTCGTCTGTGCCTGTGCCCAAAGTTGCCTGCACCTGTATAAATGATGGCTCGCCTCGGCTTCCTCACTCTCTGGGTATGCGAGCCAAGCCACTGAAAATACCACGACGGATGTGCACAGCCGTGCCGAGTATGAGTGCGTATCATTTCTGAGATTAAGTGTAGGTAGAAAAACTATGCCACTCCCAAATTTTAGTGGTCTAGAATCTGCGTGCACGGCTGCAGGAGCACATTGAAAAGTTGCTGAAGATGCGCTGACGACCATGGAATCGTTACGTCTTGAAATGGCAGCTCATTTTAATGTATACTACCAATTTATTTATTTTTATTTATTTTATTCACAGTACCTTACAGAGCTCTCGAGGGGCATTGTGTAAGGGAAACGGTACAGATATGTTAGAAGAATATATATACATATATATCTACACATACAAAGGCAAATATTGAATAAAATAGAAAAATGCAGTTCAACTTATGAACATGTAAGCAAAATACATACTAGAAAAGTGAGTTACAGTATGTGAAGGTGAAATACAAAAAAAATATTATGACAGTAACTACAACCTAGCAATAGTGCAAAAACATCGGCAACAGTCCTATAAACACTGATGATTACGAAGACGCGATAGAGCAGTTTTTTGCTGCATAAGTATTTTTTAAGAGTATGATAGAACTTTGTGTGGTCTTGTTCTGACGCAAGATCATCTGCCAAATCATTCCACAAACGAATAGCTTGTGGAAAAGCCGACTGGTTGAAAGCGTTAGTATTGCCGTACATGCGTGATAAGCTAAAGGTGTTATGTAGTCTGCTCAAAGTACGATGTGCTAGATTAAGGTGAACTGATGGCATCATGCTGGTGTGGATGAGTTTGTGAAATAGTGATAAAAGTGAGATGTCGTGGCGAATTTTCAGTGGCTCGAGTGCAAGGCTATGTTTAATCTGTGTTACGCTGGACGGGTAGCTGTGATTACGCGCTATGAATCGACTAGCTCTGTTCTGTATACATTCTAACTTATCTATGAGGTTTTGTTGATATGGTGACCAAATGGAGGATGCGAACTCCAGTTGAGGAAGGATTAGAGCAAGATAAGCCAGTTTGCGCACATCGGAGGGAGCACTGTATAGATTTCGGTGCAGAAAACCTAATGATCTTGATGTGTTGGCATAGATGCAGGAATGCAGGAATACATGTATATATTAGTGGAGTAATGTCCTTTAATACAAAAAACAAACATTATTTAAATACTAAGTGAGAATAGTCGACCGCGTATAGCAGTCAACGGTCACGTGGCCAGATGCATCGAATTGTTCATGCTTCTGCCACCAGAAGCGCCACAGGTCATTCCTCTCAAATTTCAATGACGAAATAAAAATGTAAATCGACCTCTCACGAAAAAGACAGGGTTGTTTGGGTCAACGTGACATACACTCTTTTCATGGGTGGAGTTGTATCATTTCATATTCTGGGATTTTGTCTGTCCCTTTAAACATAAAAATGAAAGCTCATCTGCGTGGCAGAGATGCTTTGTAAAATGATATATTTTATTGTGAGAGCTCGGGATTTATAGTTATTTTGAGCATGTGTCTTTGGTGTACTCCTCATGTGAAATGCAACAGCAAGCCGACATGTGGCAGTCTCCAGGAGACTCTAGATAATGGGCTCTCTTTAGTTTTTAATAGCCCACCTTGTACTCTGTAAAAGCGATTTTAACCCACTTCGAGTTAAATTTATAACGTTAACTTCTTTTGTCATGAAAGTAGAGAAAGTAAACTTGTGAAAGCAAGTAACAAAAAAATGTGTAATTTTAGCAAAAACTTCAATTTTTCGAGCAGCATCTCCTCTTAAAGGGCCAGTTATCAACCCCGAGGTTCAAAAATTGTTATAAAAAAATATGTGCGCTTTTGCTTTGCGAACATGCTTCTGCAAGAGTTTTGCGAATATGTGCTTTATTAAGGAAATTACAGGGGTTGGAACATCGGTTTCAGCTGGTTTAAAATATTCGCGCAGGCCTCGCCATTCTTCTCCCACACAGGGAGGGGAAGGCATAGCTCGTAGTCGTGACTGGTTTAGAACAATTGACGAGCAGCGTGCTACATCTGATCGCCAATCGGCGACCTTTGCGTCACTGCGCATGAAAGGAGGATCGGTCAGGCGCAGGGAAGGAAAACGGTGCACAGCACTGCATTATTCAGAAAACGTGATCACCGTTGTCTACTCTACGAATTGCAGAGCTTCTTTGTGCGGTGTAAAAATTCGGAGCCTGTTGACTGGGCATTTAATACCGACATTGTCAGATGTATTCAGTGTCTTTCTTCTATTCGACAATCTACCTTTAATAATAAGTGACAAACTCTGTCTTCACTGGTGCGTGTTATTTGGTCACGAGTTGGAGAAGTAAGATCTGTGCTGTTTTGGATAAGTCACCTATGCTTCCTTGAAACATAAACAACGTAAGCCCAGGCTAATAGGACATTTTCCATGGAACAAACTAGTCGACACGTTCACTTATTTATGCTTAACATATCAGCTAATACGAATGCCAAGAGGGTGCATGACAGGTAGTGCTGCACCTCTCCACATCTGCTTCAGTAAATGGAACTCATGTTAATTGGAACACGCTTTTGTAGTCTCTTGAGGTTGCATTTGAAGGGAATATCTCACAAACCCTAAACATGCATTTTCTCGTTAGCGCTATCTGCTTAAGAGTCTGCTGAACAAACATTTTTTTTGAATACTCATAACGTAGTGATGAAGCAATTAAAGTTGTACAATTAGTAATGACAATTGAAGTCTTGCAATTGGTTATGAAGCAATTGAAGCGTTGTGAAATGAAATTTAGCCAACTGCATCTCCTTTTTTTTCTCTTATTTTCTGTCTACTTATTCAAAGTGGTTTATACTCAGAAGTCCCACTGTGTCAGACTATCATGTGAACGGTTTACTTCGTAGGTTCGGATTCTACAGGAGCCGACGCCCGAGATTAAGCGTGCCATGAGCCTCAACTACATGACAGCTATACACACAGCGCTGCTAATGTTGCCCGACGTCTTCACCGAGGAAGAGCTCTACCTGAAAATTGCAGGGCTCTCCTACGTAGGTATGCTTGCATCCTTGCCAGATATTCATCAATTCATACAGTACCGTCCTTGGTGCATGCAAGCGCTAGTTAACTTTTGAAATGCCTGGATGTCGGTAGTTGAAGCCTTCACAGCGAACGCCTCCCAAATGCTGTTGACTGCAGTTGCTTGTGATTTCCTGCTAAATAGGTCAAAATGGGCGAATGGGTCAACTTGTGGACTTGTAGTAAACAAAGAAATCGGACATAGTGAGAGTTATAGTTCGTGGCTAGACAGCACATGATTCTGAGCACGAGCTTGTGGAATCGTATTGTAGGACATGTAAGTGGCAATGTTTTTAACTGTCAACTACAAAAACATTTTCGTCTGCTTCAAAATCGGCTTCAATTAATGTAGATAGGGCGTAGCCTCCATGCAAATAATCAGGGAATAAGATGCATGTATACCATCGAGAGCCTCACAAAACGCTGTTTTTGCTGCACAACAAGAACAAGCAAAAAAATACCAGAAGGAAGTGATGCTGTCGTTCACCGGAAATGACACAAAGCATGGAATTTCCTTAACCGGCACAGTGTGGACATTGCCTACAAGACTAGGCGTCACCCATGGCTTGCTAGACATCTCAAAGACGACATTCTATGGATCCATGTCGTATATACTTACTATCAGATGCCCACACCACCTACTACGGTGCTTCTTGAGAGCTGCCTGAAAACTATGGCAACGACTTTCCCGTTTGGCTTGTTGAATACTATAGCTTCTCTTACAGCCTATGCTGCTTTGGGATGTATTGTCTTACAAGTGGCTGTTAAAGATGTATGAAAGGCAGTAAATGAGGTTGTAGTTGTAAATAACAGTGAACATAGCACGCGCTAGAATAAGAGGAAATTGAGAGTTATTGCATGGCACGGGGATCTTGGTTGTTGCTGGGAGTAAACGACAACGTTTAGGTGCGCTGCTCTGTCTCTTCAGGTGTATTCTCTTTCAATCCAGTTCATCTGGACAGAAGTCTTCGGATTTTATAGAGCAGTAGCTTTCAAAGCCAGAAGCACAGTAAACCAAACAAATCTACGTAATAACCCCAATTCCTATGCTAAATGAATGATGGCAGCACCCGAGCTTAACTTTGCTAGTTTTTGTAGCAAACTATCCGCGACCGTGCTTTCTCCTTTTGCGCAGGTGACTTCCGCATGATCGTCGGCGAGGACAAGAACAAAGTGGCCAACATCGTTGGGGCCCAGTTGGGCGAATTCCGCAAGCTCTACAGCCCGTACTTGAAGCTCATCAAAATGGTCTCGTGGAATGAAGACACGCAGACGTTTGAGGTAGCCAGTCCCGTGTCTTTTTGCTTTCACTGTCTCTGAATTGTCTTTTTTGCTAATGCTACCCACTCTTTACCACCCACAATGTGAGGAATGATATTGTGCCAAGTACCCATAAAGAGATGAAACGGCACACTTTAGCTGTTTTTTCTTCGACTGTAAACACGCTCACTGCAACAGCAGCAGACTGTCACTGCAAATACTGCAATCGTCTCGACAACTTTGCTTCCACTGCAACAACTGTTATCGGAAGCTTGAGTTAAATTTTCACCATCACTGCCAAAGTCCTGACTGTGGTGCATGCATATATTCTTAGTGGAGGGCTGGGATGCGGCCGGGATATCATTTGGCAAAAGATGTGTGCGGTTCTGTACCTCCATGTGTGCATGTAGATGTGTAACATGTGCATACAATGTGTCTTAAAACATGATACTTGAAGGGAAGCCAAATGAGTGTTATAGCTGTTAGTACCCCAGTGCAATATACTATAATTTATATGAGATGAGCAAATGACGTGTAGAGTGACAATAATGTGGCATGTGTGAAGTAGGCATGACTTTTAATTAGAGCACGGATACCATATGCTATTTTCTTTTTGATATGAGAAATGTGATCTGTGTGTTTCAAGTTAGAGTAGAGAGAAATTCCAATAAAAGATGAGCAGGGACTGGGAGAAATAGAGTGCAAACAGAAGTTAAAGGAAAGAATGCTGAATATTTTTGATGTAATGAAACTACACTAAATTTAGTCTTAAGTGAATTAATAGTCAACAAGTTAGCGCTGCACCTTGAAACATTTCCTAGTCATTGCTTAGCTTGTCAAGAAGAAGAGAAATGTTTTTGTCAGATGTAAATATGGAAGTGTCATCAGCATACAGAATGAAATTAGCAGAGGACTGACAGTTACCAAGATCGTTATTGTAGATCAAAAATAGGAGCGGTCCCAAAATGAATCCTTGGGGGACACCAATGTTATTGCTTTGTTCTTTAGAATATACATTAGAAAAAGAGACTCAACTTGAACGCGGTTATGTTGGTAGCTTGATGGTAGCAATTGGGTAGGACTACACACCCCGACTGCTTCAAGTTAGTAAAGAGAATGCTATGATTTAAACATTCGAATACTTTTGTTTGATCGTTGAATACTGATCTTGCAAATAAACATTCGTGAATAATTTTTTTAGTTGATTGGTTATATGAACGAGTGCCAGATTAGTAGAATAATGATTGCAAAAGCTGAACTGACAAGGTGACAGAATATTAAATTTAGCAACATATTTTGATAGGCATACCCCAATTAAGTTCTCGAGAACTTTACCAAAAAAAGGCAAAATGGAAATGGGTTGGTAAATATGGATCATTGTTTAATCACTTTTATTAAGAACTGGGATTGCTTTACCACGTGTAAGCACACTACTGGAGTGAAGCATATGTAATTACAGTACCAAGTTTTGATCTCTACAACGGTAAATAATTATCTATGCCTCCATCAATATGCAAATGGGTAAACTATGCCTCTGATGGTTACTATCATCTGGTCATTAATAACAGCTGTGTTAAGTCTAGCGGAAGGTACAAATGGTCAAACATAGCAAACCAGCCTTCCAGCTTTTAGCTGTCAAAGCAGTAAAACCTTTCTCGCAAAGCATTAAGCTCTCCACGTTTCAAGATTACAACAGCGATCCCTGTCACGTCATAACTATTATTAACGAGAAGCTTTCTCGTTAAATGTTAACAACTTCTTATCAGCCGCCGTAAACATAATTCATTGTTTATTGGTGCAGTTCATGAGTTTGTGATTAGTCTGTTTCAGTGGCACAGCAGTTACGGTGCATGGCTGCTAACCTGAAGGTCACGGGTTTGATCGCGGTTGAAGTGCTTGGATTTCTATGGAGGCAGAAGGCTAGAGGCTCATGCACTATGCAATGTCAGTGCGTGTTAAAGAGCATCAGACTGTCGAAATTTCTGGAACTCTTCACTACAACATGCATCATAATCACATCATGATTTTGGCATGAAATACACCAGATGTCCAGAAAAAATTGCGCAAAAATAGAAAAGGACACCACAAGGAAGGAATATGAACAGGTAGAGCGCAAACTACCGACTGTTTTCATTGACCGTAGCAGGCTGTTTAAATAAGCAAACCGAACATATCTGCGCAGACGTGCCTAATAACATCAAGTGCTAACGTGCCTTATCTATCAAAAAGGATGTTTATGTACTGTAGAGCGACACCGAGGTGTCACTCAGACAGCTATCACTTTCATGTTGATGAACCCTTCAAAATCCCTCAATCACACATGTTTTTTCTATGCCTCAGTATCTTAGTCTGCAGAAATCACACTTCACATCCACAGGGTGTGCGATGAGTGAACAAAATAGCCAATTAATTATTTTTTATTGACAGCTGGTGTTCATGTGCGCAGTGGTTTAAGCAGTGGCTTGTCTGGCCCACATAAGATTTGCTGCAGGAAAGCCGAATCTTGTACACCACTCTCACATCGCACCGTTGGCTTGGCATTCTTCTTGCCACAAAGGAAAGCGCTCTCCTCGCCAGTCCACATTCGTGAGCGCAGCCATAAAAGCTCCTTAGGTGCAGAAAACACCATGCTGACTCCGTGGTGGTTGGCAACCTTCTTCAGGTTGTGTGTCGCCCGGTGTAAATAGGGTAGCACTAGCGGCTTCTTTCTCTCACAGTCATTGGACGAGTATTTCAGCCACGGCTTCCGTGAGCACCCTTTTAGTTTCTTCAGAAGGGTTTCAGTCATAGCCGCCAGCACTGACTGGCGAGGACCCGGCTGCCTGTAGTCTTGCTTGACCTTCCTGCCTTTCCTTTCTCTACCTCCCTCTCTGTCTGAGCAAGGAAGTTGGCCAGCCTTTCATGCGAACACGATTTCATAAGCGCCGACTTTAAATGCACTGATGCGATCACCTTCTTTACAACTTTAGAATGAGATGACATGTACAGTAAAGGCTTTTTCCGTGGCCAGGAGCCCGCTAGACTTTGTGCCAAGAAGCATGTCAAGCCAATGGTGCAAAGGTTGTAAGAGATTCCACTTTCCTGAGGCAAACAATATGTAGGCCAAACAAGCCACTGCGTAAACGACCATGCACATGAACACCAGCTGTCCATCAAAAATAATAAATTGGCACATTTGCCTGCTCATTGCACAGACTGTGGATGTGAAGTGGGATTTCAGCAGACTAAGATACTGGGGCATAGAAAAAACTGCTCGTGAGGTTTTGTAAGCGTTCATCTACATGCAAAGTGATGGCTGTGTGAGCGAGGCTTCGGTATGGCTCTACGGTGCGGAAATGTCCCTTTTGATAAATAAGGTGCGTTAGCACTTGGTGTTTCTGGGCACGTGTGCGCAGATATGTTCTACGGTCAATAAAAACAGTTGGTATTTTTGCACAATTTTTTCTGCTTAGAATAAACGAACTAGCCTTTCAAGATGTCCTAATTATCCTAGATATGTATTATTTTTTAATGATTGTCATTCTACCCTATGCAGTGCTGTACAAATGCCAGACCAAGACAAATGACTAGGAGTGCACATATTTGAAATTTCATGTATTTTTCAAATAGTGTTTGCTAATCGATTCGCATTGGAGTTTTACTATTCAAACTATTCAAACTTCCTAAAAACAAATAGTCTATGTCCAATTAACAATGGCCCCTTCGGACTTTTTTATTATGCTTCACAACATTACATCTTCATAGTGTGGCACAGCTATCTTTCAAGTCCTGCCAGAGGTACAAATGTATCTACTCAAGAAAATGCTGGTTCTAACGTGGAGATTATTGATATGGCAGAGGTGGGGGCCTAATTAATGGTGTACTGGACCTGAAGTTTGGGCAGGAAGTCGGAGAAATCAGACGCCAGGGATTTTTAGCATTCAAAATTTCAGATGCTGTTATATATCGACGTCAGTGAGGCAGATTTGAAACTCTGGACTCCAAGGTGGCCAATCCTTGTCCACCACGTTAGTTGTACTTCTACAGAACTTGAAAGAGAAAAAAGAGCAGGAGATGCTGAGAAGATAGCGGCTTTGCGTTTCATGTGTAAAGTGCTGTCGGCAACACTTGCGTTGCATTTAATCATGTACATAAACACAATTTGGCCTCCACATTGTGTCATTCTTGATAAGACAACTATAAAACACCACTCTGCCAGGGCTTCATCAAGCCAAGAAAACTTTCATGTTGCTATCTCATAAGAGTATGCTTAAAAATCTTCTCCAACTTTTATTCTGCAGTTTCACTTTAAAGTATTCGAAAAATATCCAAGAAATATTTTTTTTTTTTTCGGATTTGTGCCCGATTATGTTTGTTGCACACTGGAAATGTTTTCTGTGTATGGGCATAGGTTCTGCATTTTTTGGTGCTTTTTCTATTGTATGTTCTGAAACTTATAAACAAATTGCGGCATGTCGTTGAGGTAAAGCCAGCTGGCTATCTTTGGTTGATGTCGCCTTCATATGCTGTAATGACTGTATTCGGTTCCCACTGTTGTGTGTGCACTATGAAATCGCCTTTTCTTTTTTCTTGTTATCGCCTGTTAACTTCAACTTATATTGCAAACCGCGTCATATTTTCATTGTGCTGATATGCTTTGTAACGCGTGAATTAATTTTGTGTGATCTGTAAAACTTCACCAATTACCCCTCTTACTCAATGCCCTGTAAAGGGCCTGTAAGGAATTTTAAATAAAAAAATAAAATAAAAAAATTTCGATTCGCACTCACACTTCAATGTTTGAATTCACTTCACACTCAAAATTTAGCTTTTTGCACAATTCTACTAATAACAGTTATTGATTTATTCGTAAGCAAACCTTTTGTCAGTTCCAATTGAATCAGACTCGCTGGCTTCCAAGTGTGTGTCTGTTTATTCTGTGCAAGCCCTTGCCAACTATATAAAATACTATCATTCGAGCATGGCGTACGGCTATAGTAATTGCATCATCTCGCAGCAAGAGCCGGGCCCGATGCAAAGCTGCACCACCTGAACCTGCTGCCCAAGTCCCTGCAGTCTCACCTGCTCAAAGTGTGGAACAAGGACGGCAGGCACCGGGACCTGGAGGACGTTCTCCGGGCCATCGGGAACGACCCCCACTGCAGTGGGTTCATCGAGGAGGGTATGCGCGAGATGGCTCTCCAGCAATGCAGTCTTGCGAAAGAAAGTTGCTTGATAGATACCTAAGGGCTAGTTCGGTGAGCTGTCATATTTATGAAGCATTGCTCGAGCAGGTAAAGTGGTATTGTGGGCTAGTTGGTTGCTGTAGAAATTATAAATATACATACACAAGAGGAAATGCGAGGATAGGACGAGTGCTAGACATCACCTTAGTTTACTGAAATGAAACATAGAAGCGTGTTGAATCAGTATGCATGCAAAAACAATACACGGGCGAGGGGGCCGTTCTTGCGTACTTTCAAGTGTCGCCACATCACTAGCGCAAGAGAGACATCTAAATAATCGAGCTTTTCCTGGGACAGAACAGCAGAAAGAGTACCAACACATTCACTGTTATTAATGCTGATGAGAAAAGTTTCTAATATTTATCGAGCATTGGATGTGTACATCTGAGGCTGTTGGTTTGGACCCCACTGATGCAGTAGGTCCTTTTTATTTTGTTCACTTTAATTCATTTCAGTTAGCATTGTAATTTCTACACTACACTAAAGAACAAGGAATAATGTCCCCTATGTTTTCCTTGGCTTCATCGTACGTCGGTTTCATTTGGTCGTGTCTGACAAAGGAATTAGCCCCTTGAACAATGGCCCTTCATTCATTCGTTTGTAGAAACAATAATTAATTGAAGTGCAGTGCTTGCTTCTGCCTCTCTTTGTGTGTGCGGGCACCTGTCTTTTTGTGCACTGCTTCATCAGTAATTTTACGAAGCAAGGCTTGCACCTCTGTTCTAGAGTCTCTCTTCAAGTCTGATTGCAACAGAATTTTAAATTGCATAAAATAGTTTAAAATATTATAGATATCTATGTAGAGCCTCCATGCCGAATTTCACGCTTGAAATATGCGTGGAACTATCAAGCTAAGGTCGGCAAACAAAAAGTAGAGCTTGCTCAAACACTCCAAAATTTCCGTTAGCCCGGACTCGCACGGACTCAGACTCAGTAATTTTTTTCTCAACCGGACTCACACATATTGAAACTGTCAAAAATATTACTCAGTTGGGCTTGCTTCGACTCACGGTTCGATACGAGTTTGAAGCAGTGCGAGTAAATCAGCCTATGAGTGCATTACCTTTTTCAGATAGAGCATGGTGTCGATGTTATTTAATGCAAATATCTGCAAAAACCTTCAAGTACAAAATATGAGTTCTTGCGAGCCAGTGACAACATTTTTATAAAAGGCTCTACTCAAATGAGATATTTTATGAAAAACTTCCCACGAAATATGCTAGCTTGTGGGAGGAAGTCAAGATGCCTCCTTGTCCCCCACCCTAACCTCTGATCAATAAATATTAATAAATATTGAGTTGGCGTATGAGCGCTAGTGTGTCGAAATACCTGTGAGGAAACACGAGTATAAATGTAGGCCAGGGCAAGGTTGATAATACCGTAATTACTCAAATCTAACGTGCACCTTTTTTTCAGTTAAACAAGTTCATAAATCGCATGCGCATTAAAATCGAGTGCGGAAAAAAAATGAATACGGTAATTCTTGCCATCGGCATTTCCAAAATGGTCGCCCCCTACGTGCTTCGGCATAGCGCGTCGGCCATTTCTGCCTATGTGTTTCCCATGTGCGGCACTTCGTACATGTGCTGAGGAGTTCGTCATCTTGTAGTTCATTAGCATCGATGGCATGGAAGGGCCGACTCCAAAAACTCGACGAGTGCACCACGATGCCGCTTTTAAAAGAAAAGTCATCGCGTGTGCCGAAACAGACGGACATCGGGCCGCATTGCGGTCGTTCGGAGTTCCCTGAAACGTGCGTGCGGGACTGGCGGAAACAAAAGCAGAAGATTGTCGACAGCAAAGATTCACACAAAGGCTTCAGTGGACCACAGTAGGGTCGGTTTCCGCAAATCGAAGAGCTGCTCGCCGAGTATGTGCTTGAGCAGCGAGCGGCACAGCGGCCCGTGACGACAGAACTGCTCCAAGTGTAGGCTATGCAGTTAGCTTTAGAAAAAGGGCTAACACGGAGCCAGTTCAAAGCGAGCAGGTGCTGGCTAACTTGCTTTATGAAGAGGAAAGGGTTTTCCTTCCGAAAGCTGAACGGGCATGGGCCAAAACTTGCCGGAGGAGTATGAAGAAAAGCTTCACAGTTTTCAGAGGTTCGTGCTAAACATGTGGCACAACAATGGCTATCTGCCTGGGCAAATCGAGAATGCCGATCATACGCTTCTTTACTTCGACATGCCTGGCACCACAACCGTCGAGAAGTAGGGGGCGAAGCAAGTTCGCATGCTGACATCGGGCCACGGTAAAACAAGAGTGACGGCAATGCTCCGTTGCACGTCAGATAGGCACAAGCTTCCCCGTACCTCATATATAAACGGAAGACGCTCCCGAAAGGAGCCGTTTTCCCGAGTACGTAGTGTGATCGTGCGGGCCAACGAGAAAAATGGGTGCGCGTTGCAAACGATGTCTTACTTTTTTTTTCGTCGTGAAAACCGAGTGCGCGTTACAATCGAGGGCGCGGTAGAATCGAGTAAATACGGTAAGTGCTGATGATGGGCCAGAGCATTGGTAAAAAAAAGGGGGGGGGGGGGGGGGCTCGCTCAGACACGCTTGAGAAACATACTTTGTGCTTGTGCTTAAATCAGAACCACACTCGGGAAAATTTTCTTCCGTTGGACTAGAACTCGCGATAATTTTTGTGGGCTGGATTCACTCAGACCGAAACTCTCCAGGATATTACTCACTCAGGTTCGCTCGGACTGGGCCTAGATACGAGTAAGAGTGAATCTTAATAAGTAGACTCGAGAGTTAGTTTACTGGCCCGTGCTGTCAAAAGAAGCTTGCAGACAAAGCAGTTTTTCATAGCCAGCTTCTTGCCCACCTCTCTCTCTCTCCTGTATCTTGGGCATTCCTCCGAACATGAATATACTTTGCCTCCAACGGTTTGCACGACGTCCATGTGCCAATTTTCGTGGCACTTGCACATCGTTGCGAGTGCGACCGAATGGCAGTAGTCTGGAGCGGCGGAGACTGAAGCATCTCTTGGCCGTACCAAGATATTCATTGTATGTGGATTTAACTTTAAAATTCTACTTCTATAAGAGTACGAGCTTTCGCTTTCAGGGTTCACGTAAGGCTCACGTATAAGAAGGTGTGAAATTATGAACTGTGTGTGTAGTGAACCGTCATACAAACAGTGTCAGCTCTCTCTCCCCTTCTTTTTCCTTCGACAGCTGTGGCAAGCATCGTGTGGAGGTCAAGTTGGGGCCAAACTGCCAAAGGCATTGTCACAGCTGGTAAGTAGACCCCAAGCCCCTTTACATGGCACTGATGAGGGTCTGATGCAATGGTATGCTATCATGATATCATCAACTGTTGAGGGTCTGATATAATGGTACATCACGATATCATGACCATAGCACTGATACCTTGGTAAGCCTTTTGTCGTGGTAATGCGAACAGACGACATCATTGGCTGTTGTCCAGCTGAGATGCTGTTCCGAATGTGCCTGATTCTAAGTGGAAGCATTTGGTGTTAGATCCAAGCAATTGCGTTGCCACTTGCTTCACTACTTTTTTCCATTGTAGCTTACCTCTAGAGCGGTCATAATTGTAACTTCTGTGCGGCTCTGCTTGCCCTGAAAATAATAATTATTACTATTGCATGTCATTAGTTGCCCCTAGGGCAATGGTGATTGTTAATTTTGCACTGTCCTTGCTTGCTGTTAAGACAATGAGAAATGTTTCTTTTGTACTTCTTTGCTTAATTTAGAATAATGAAACACAATACAGTAAACTCTTAGTAAAGAAAAATATGTTAAACGAAACCGCTGCTTAAATGGAACAATTGCTTTTGACAAGATTGGTTTTGTTCTTGCATTCTGCACCCTTGTTCTTCTCTGAGTAAACGGAAGCTCCCGGTAAACAGAACGTATTTTCCTGGTCCCTTGTGGCTCCGTGTGATGAGTCTGTTATAGTTTCATGCCTCCTAGCTTGCCTCCAGGAATGACAATACTTGTTAATTTTTCTATGTCCTTGCTCGCTTCCCGGTCAATGACAATTGTTACCATTGGATGCGCTTGGTTGGCCTCTGGGACAGTGATAATTGGGCCTTTTGTATATCTTTTCGTGGCTTTAGGACTGTGGAATGCTATCTATTACGGGAGCAAGAAAGTCATCAAAATGCTGAAAAGCTTGACCACAACGCAGCCAAGTAAGCCTCTACAGTGTTTTCTTGCACCTTCCGCAAACCAATCAAACGGTGGCTTCGAGCCAACTCCGATTCCTGTATTCAATTAGTGTGTGGTGAAATAGCAAACACACTCTCGAGACGACTGTGAAGCTTCTTCGTGAGAAACTTTGAAATTTCTCGCATTTGAGCTAGAGCTAACCAAGTACTTCTTGATATTCCTTCTTTTAATTTTAAAGGAAACATTGCCAGGTAATATACCATTTCAAGAATTATCGAAATCCCATGCTGTGGAGGAACGCTCAGGCAGTTTTAGTTGTTTGTATTTTGCTTCTCTTGTCATCTGTAAATAATTTTTATGGGCTAAATTTTTTGTATTTGCTCTTAACTATGAACAACTTGGGAAGTTTTTAGGTGAACTGCTGTACACCTTATCAGTATTGCTTCACAATATGTCAAACAGCACCCACCGGAATCTCACGGTTGTTCCCATGAGCCCTGTAAGATAGTGCATGTTCGATTGCCGCTGCTGCTCTCCAGTAGGTGCAGAATCTAAAGAAGTCTTGTGTAATTAGGCTTATGGTTACGGCATGTAAAAGAACCTCAGGTAGTAAAAAGTAATCCATGTCTTCCTCTTGTGTCCACCGGCCAGAGCTTTTATGACGATCTGTGAAATGTGTTAAATTAATTTTGACTTTCCGTTCAATGGCCAATGAAACAGTTTCATTAGTTTGAGTGCAAACATATATAATGACGCTCTGGCTAAAGCTCCCTTTGAGCACAATTGCACAGAAATTTCGGGCCACTAAGAAAAGCCTTATTTGAAGTAGTGCGCCTACGCAAGAGTAGCCCAGATTCTTTAAACATGAGCGAATGCATCATGAATTGCTTGTGAACATACAGACATCGACAAAAAGGGGTTCTCTCTACTGCTGAGCAGAAGTGATGTGCAACTTGAAACATGCTACTCCTCAGCAGGACCTCAAAGATTGATGCGGTGGGACTTGTCAAATCCTCGAACCACTGGGTGCGCGCAGCTTCTCAGGTACTGCTCAAGGGCTGCCTACAAGAACTCAAGACGATCACGAACGAGCCCTGCAGCATTGCCTAAGTTGCTTTATTAGTGTGCAATATATATGTTTGTTACTAACTTAGCCAAAACTGAACTTGATTATTATGGTTCATTGTAAAAGGCTCTTGAGTCGAACTAAACTTGATTACCATCTCTGTAGTAACTTATCGTCGGACATCAGCCTGAGAACATTCGAATTAGCGCTTGTTGACAGAATCATTCTATTTAGAAGGGTTGTCAGTAGAAAAGGGTTTGCAAGGCAATGCAGTCGCATGGAACACCGTTATGCGGAAACTGGTGGTACTACTGCATAGCTGGGTTATGAGTCTCACAGTCCCCGGCCCAGGTGACCTGTGACACTTAATTTTGGCTTGACAGCCGCCAGGGATGAAGCCCATACCATCTTCTCCCGCCAGGTGCGGATCACGTGCTGTGTGATTCGTTTTCTGTGCAAAAAAAACACTGTGCCAGTGAACATTTGTTCCCGAGCATCTGAAGTTCTCGGAGAAAAGTATATGAGCATACAACAAGTGCCCGATTGCACTTTTGGCAACTACACGACACGGGAAACGAGACAACACCCTCGTCAATGGGAACACTCACAGTCGCCAAAGCCGTGCAAGTTCAAACAAAACTGTCTGGTGGCAAAGGAACGGCGAATGTCTTTTTGGAAAGGAGGGGGTTTTCGTTATACGAATTCATGCTTGCCGGTACCACAATCATTTAGGAATGTTGGTGTGGGGAGATGAAAAGTTTTCACTGCACGATTAAAAAACGAAGAAACGCGGGCTCACAATGGCAGTGCGTTTTCATCGACCCTACAATTGTCCACACATCAGGTCATGTAACATACAATGTCGTCAATAAATTTGGATGAGACGCTGTCGTGCAACCTTCCCAACAGCCAAGATGTACCCCCAAATGGCTACCATCTTTTTCTTGAATTGATGAGACCCCTGGTTGAGACACATCTCGTAAACGGAGAAGAGCTTCAACAAGGGGATTGTAGCTCCCTTCAAAGTGCAGCGGGAAAGTTTGACGACTCAGGAGCAAATTATATTGTGCACCACATGTGTAAAAATGCATTGATGTTGACGGTCATTTCGGTGAAAAAATAGTTGAAATTCAAAGCTTTTCAAATGTTTATTCAATGCTAATAAACAAGGTTTGCATTGCCAAAAGTTTTTGGGAATCTTATTTTACGGACAACTCTTCTAAAGCTTGTTTCAGGCAGGGCATTTTCTGTGCATAGTAACATAATTGCAGTTATATTGGTCTCAAGAGTGTGGATAATTGGGTGTTTTATGCATTTTCCGCTGTATGTCGTGTCATTGCTGTGCTCCGTTCCCTGAATCATGTTCTTTTTATTGCTGATCTTAAGCCACCCTTCCTGCTGTCTTGTACTTTCAGATTTGAAGACGTAACGATTCTCTCCATGGACATACGTGCATCTCGGTTGTTTTTTCCAGTTTTTGTTCGGAGCACCGACGGGCACTTACGAGATTGTTGCAGCGTGTTGGTCGTTCATCACTCCGTCAGTTGTTGTTTGTTTTGTTTGCCCACACAGCTGTGATAGTGTGTACACTTCGAACATAGTCACGCCATCAGTTCCGTCACAGAGCCACTGCCATATAATGGGACATCTCCCCACATTTCATTGCCTTTGCATGTACAGCGATTGATTTGGTCGTTTTAAAAGATACGCCTTTGAAACAAGAGGGCACAATTTTGCACGCGCTTTACTTTAAGGATTAAAGAGGTTTTACATAGGCGAGCGAGTTGTGCTCAGGTTGTAGATAGTCCAAGCCTTGGAATCGTGCACACTCGGCTTACCTTTGACGGATATCTTCTGGCGTTTTGAGTGAGACGATTGAAGATATTAGTAACTTATTTTGCGCACGCTGATCTAAGAATAAAGTTTCACTGATTACAGTTTCAGTTGTATGTTCCTCCTTCAAAAAAAGTGTATCGTCCAGCGGAAATTTCGCAAATCGTGTGTACAACAGTGGTTATGATGCTTGGCTGCTGGCTGGAACGTTGTGGATTTCGTACCCACTGCAGCGGTCGCACTTCAATAAAGGCAAAATGCTGGTGGCCCATGTGCTGTGCGGTACTGGTACGCAATAAAAACACCGGATGGTCTAACTCTCTGGAGCTCTTCACTACGGCTTACTCTAGAATCATATCGTGCAAATTTCTGGTCGTAAAACCCCAGATAGCATCACGAAGCAAAACTGCTATAAAGGGCACCAGTCATCTTGCGTCAAAATGTTACCCCGGTCAGAGCAGCAGATGTGTGGCTATGTTGTAAGAGAAATGCAACAGTGCCGCGTCCAGCTCACCATACCCGCTGGAGTAATAAGATCTTGAATCTCTATTTTGGAGAATAATTCGTGAAAGTTGCTTGCGAAATCGTGAACTTTGGGCTGCAACAAGACACCCCCCCCCCCCCCCTCCGAGTTTCTTTTCAGCTGTGCTTTTCAAAAGTGGCACATGATTTTTATCCTCCTCCCACTGTAGATTCCCAAAAACAGGGTCCCTATGGATGGTGTGTTGTGGTGGTACATTTCAGCATCACCCCTGAACGAGATCATCTCTTAATAGTCTAATTCTCATATGACAAGCATGAGTGAGACAAATTATTTGATAGAACAGAACAAAACTATTTATGTATATTGTATAAGGGATGCTAAAAAAATTATTTTCATCATATTGGGAAATTACTTTCACGATTTCAAAATTGCCACACTTGCCGCAAGAAAATTCATGGTTAGGCAAGAAAGCACCCAAAAATTAAACACTTACGAGAAGCTTGATCCATATGCACTCAAAAACTCTAGCTGCCTAAAACATGACCAAAATGCTAGAAAACGAGATTGGAATCTGTGAATTCTCTTTAATGTCTCTAGTACTGTTGTCTTTTTTGCGAGAAATTCAGCAAAAGCAAGCTAAGCTTCTGTTTCCTTTTTTTTAATGACAAAAGAGATTGTGAAATTACCACAGCCTCTTTGACAGCGTAGTTAAAGGATCAGGCGGGGATTTCCACTTGAGCTTTCTATGTGGCTGTTGAGTATTCTACTGCAGAGCCATTCCAGTGCTTGAAATTTAATTGCAAAAAGAGCCAATACAGGTGTCGTATCAGACAGGAAATTACGTTAACATGTAATATTGCACGTTAAAAGATTAAAAAAAAACAACCAGGCATCGCACAATGCAAATTGCACAATGGTTGGGAGGCCTAAAGCTACCCACCCACCACAAGGCCTTACCATAATTGTTCATCATCAGCCACAGCATCTACGATGCACACATGATCTCTTAAAGACGCGTAGTGGGTACCTCATTTACCTGCAGAATAATGAGTCATGGCTTAGTGGGCATTTCCTTACTTCTGAACATTGTGATAATCTATGGTGTAGCAGGTACCTCGCTCTAGTCGGTACCTCTGTTCTCGCCGTTGTGCTCCTAGAGAGTTGACAAGAGGCTCTAGAATGTGTTGTAGCAAAACAGCCATTTGGGCTAGTTGGTAACGGTTCATTATGAAAGAAGTTCATTAAGGACTTCTTCTATAATGAAGGAGGCCCTAGAATGGCAGGCTCACCAGCCTTCGTAGCGGCTACTGCATGTCCCGCACAGGTCTGGCATTTTTTTTTTTTCACTAAATCGTAGTAAGCCCCCTTATAAGTAAAACTAATGCAAGAAGAGCAATGAAACAATAACCTTCTAATCTGAAATTATTCAGGCGTTTCTACCTTTAATGTCCCTTTAATGTATCATAACATAAAATGAAGGTTCTTGAGTATTTTTTCTTGCAGCTCGAACATCTCTGTGTTTGATGATGGTGTCCCCTTCAGCTAGATGCACCAGTGTAGCACGTACGTAAAACACTTGGCAGTGAAACAACTGCGCATTGTGAAATTATAGTGCTTGTTTTCTTTAAAGTCACTTTAATGTAAAGTAACACAAAATGAAGGATCTGTAGCTATTTTTCCTTGTAGCTCAGACATCTCTGTTCTTGATGCTGGGGTCCCTTTAGGTCGGAGGCTCCAGCGTGGCATATTCATGAGACACTTCGAGCAGGTGGTTGGCAAATTCCAGGTCGGATATGATGTCGGGGATTCGAGCCGCGATGATGCTTGTTCCTGTGTGATTGGGTCCATTCGGGCTGGCCGGAGATGCGGCTGTGGAAAAGAGCTGCCGTGTCGCTGGTGTCGAACGTGGCCTAAACTGTCTTCTTCGTCGTCTGGTGTCAGTGGCAGGGACCGTCTACCCTGCCGCTTTGCCGGATGCAGTCCGGACGCGTAGCTCGCACGAAGGCAGGGTACTTTTTTCCTGGTTTGTGGGAAAGTACGAGCTTTAACAACAGGTGAAAGTTGCACTAGGGCGTCAGCTGTGAGGGTGCACGTGGGCTTTAGGCACTTTCGTTTTTCCGTTCTAACGTGCACCTAAAATATTAAGTGCGCCAGTTCTGGCTCTCTGGATTCAATCATATGCATATGCACCAGAACCTAATGAAACCTTTAAAGGGACGCTAAAGGCAAATAATGAGTTGACATGCATTGTTGAAATAGTGCTTTAGAAAGCTTGTGGTGCTTTTTTCGTGCCAAGAAAATGCTTAACCCTTTGGTGCCCGAAATTTCGTTTCAATGAACAACACCAAGAAAACTATGGTATGTATAAGGAAGTGATAAAATATGTCAATAACGTTTTCTGAAAAAAAAAAAAAATGACTATTTATAGGCAGGTAATGAGTTGTTGCTCCTGAGCAACATTGGGCACACATGGTACTACTTATTTATTTTTACATATTGCAGCCTCAATCAGGCTATTGCAGGAGTGGAAAAAAAAAACATGAACAACAGAAACAAATCAACATTCATGAGCAGGCTTCCGAAAATTCTTGAAGTGATAGCGAACGAACACTTCCGGGCAGCATATTCCAGGTTTCTATAGTTGAAGGAAAGAAGCTGTATTTGAACATGTCAGAAGTTGAAATGTTAAGGGCATGGTCACTCCTCGTAGAAAAAGGTCTGGAAAATTTGAGATATGATTCTAGAGTGCTTAAGTGAGAAGAATTAAGTTGTGCAAAAATTTTAGGCATTCAACTTGGCGAAGCTTCGCAGGTGTAGCGAGACCTAGCTGTGAAAGGAAACTTTTTGGCAGAAAGATGCCTGTCATATCTCTTGCATATAAAGTGCACAGCTTTTTTTTTTTTTAACAGATTCAAGTTTGTTCATGTCACATTCCTTATGGGTGTTCCAAACCACACTACCATATTCAACAATGGGGCGAATAAGAGTTTTGTAGGTAAGCAGTTAGGTTTCCTGAGGAGCAAGACAGAGCGTACAATGTAAATAACCTAAACTATTAAGGGCTTTGTTACACGTGAGATCGATATGTTTAGACCATGATAAATTATCTGTCATAGGAATAGCAAGACACTTATATTCAGACACCTTACACAGACTAACATTGTTAAAACCATAGTCAAAATCAACGGGCATGAACGTCTGGTAAATGACATAATGACTGTCTTAGAGAAGTTAATATTCATTTCCCAAGATTTAAACCTGCTATAAAAATTGAAAAATGAATTGTTGCGATTGGCATGATCCAGTGGAGATTTAACAGCATGATAGAAGATGCAGTCATCTGAGAAAAGGAGTATTTTCACATAAGTGTGCAAAGGGAGGTCATTGATGTAAAGTAGGAATAAGAGGGGTCCTAACACAGAACCCTAGGAACTCCTGATAAAACCAGCATCGAATGCGAGTTAGTATAATTGAAGCACACATATTGTGAATGCTGCAGAAGAAAGTCGGATATCCAGCCAACTATTGATGCATTCTTCAGTATGACAAACAATTTGTGCAATAGTTTAGGATGAGGTACAGTGTCAAAGGCCTTGGCAAAACCAATGAATATGGTATCAACCTGGTCACCTATGTCTAAAGAGTTGCTGATGTCATGAACGAATTCTGTCAGTTGGGTAATGGTGCTAAAATCACATCTGAAACCGTGCTGGAAAGTGCTCAAAATATTGTTCATTTCAAGAACTCCGTGATTTGTTTAAAAATATGTTCTAGCATTTTACAAGAATGTGCTGTTAAAGAGATGGGTCTATAATTGCTTAATAAGTGAGGATTACCTGATTTAAATAAGGGAAGGATGGAAGCACGTTTACACGAGGATGGAAGTGTCACTGACGAAAGAGATTTCTTAAAATAAGTGTAAGATATGTGCTACACCGAACAGCATATCTAACTAGGAAAGCTGTTGGGATGCCAGTAGGGCCTCATAATTTTTTGGTGTCTAAGTTTAAAATGAGATTGAGTAGGCCCTCAAGTGACACGTCGACAATTCCAGGATGAAATTCAGAATGAAAAGCAGGAATGTCCGAGTTGTCAGTTGTTGTTGAATGCTGAAGCAATTATCTCTGGATGAGAAACTGCAACATTGTTAATTGACATTGTGTGCGATGAAGAACCAGATGGTAGGATAGCCTTCCAGAATTTACGGGGATTTGCTTTCATTAGCATCGGCAAGATAATCTCGTAATAACGTTCTTTAGCAGCCTTCATTTTAAAGATAGTTCTTTTTTAGTGCTTCCATTAGCATCGGCAAGGTAACCTTGTAATAACGTTCTTTAGCAGCCTTAATTTTAGCAGATAGCTCTTTTTCAGCCCTAACGAACTGTTGAAGCTTTGTCGAATCACCAGAGTGCTTTGATCGACGTAGTCTGGCCACACGACGTGACAAATGTAGGATATTCCTAGTCATCTAGGGTAGGTCAGTGTTAGTTTTCTTTGTTTTCAGAGGAATAAAACGATTGATACACGTACAGACAAGGCTTTCGAAAAAAATAGATAATGTATTGACATAACTGGTAGTGCTTTCCTGCTCAAATTTTCGAAAAGAGTCACAAAGGGTACCGGTAATTACTTGATCATCAGTGTGGTTAAAATCACGAAACGTGCAGTAAGTGTAACGGCATTTTGGGACGATACCAGAACTTGAGAACAATACAGAGTTATGATCGGGTATGCCATCAATAATATCACACATGGAATGCCTTGCTGCAGTAGCGGCCTGGAATAAGGTGTAGATGCACGTTGCACCATCCAAGATTGAGACTTAAATGTATGCATCCTAAAATTTTGGTTGACAGGTAGCCTAGAAAAAACATTTCAAAGCTACGAAATAGAAAATATATTGCCATTTTGTATAACAAAAATGATCTTTTTGTATTTATTATCGTGTAAATAAAAAGGGCACCAAGCCACACAGACATTTTCATAGAAATAAAGTTTTTTTTTTCTTTTTTCTAAGCTGGACTGATCTGCGCGATTGGTCTGGGAGTAACACAGATGAGGAAGAAGAAAATAACAGGAGCGCTAACCCGTTCTTGGCAATGATATATTTCTTTCTCTCCCACAATAAAAACATTGAATTTAACAGCTCCGCACACTGTAATTTATTACTATAGAGTCTCTCCATATGTGCTTGTACTTCCATATATGCCCAATGTAGCTCGTGAGCAACAACCCATTTGGTATCAAGATTTCTGTTATGTAACTTGTAACCAAACTAATCAGTGTGCTCATAAATGTTCTACAATGCCTTCTGAGTTATTGTAGGTATAACAGATGTCACTGTAGCATCCTGTTCTGCAGTAGTCGAATAAATTTCCTTCGTGTGCTGAGCCCTTTTGTCGCACCTGTCAGACGCTGTAACAAAACTACAAAAACGTGATGCATTTATATTAACGCATTTTTTAGAGCTCAAGATGCTCCGTAGTATTTGTCTCTTACCACTTATAGGGCCAGAAAGGTAACGTAGCAGGGTGTGTATGCTGAAGAAAATATTTTTGAGGTTGTTGCCCCAGAGCAACAGCGGGCATCAAAGGGCCAATTGGAAAGTAAATCCTGTATGAATTGTCCACGCGCCATAACATGCCGTAAGGACAATTCAAGCTGCCCACCCCCAAATTGGCTTTTCGGCGCAGCCATGCCTACCAAAATTTACTTGCTTTACTACCTGAAAGCTGGAGAAATGGAGCAAGGGGCCTTAATGCAGCACAAACCGGCAGAAACCAAACTTGTGTCGTTCTCAAGGGTAACGTCAGGGATTCCCTTTTCTCCATGAATCAGACTGAAATGCACTAGTTGCATTTTATTCTGTCTTGTGCTTAAATGTTCTTTTCTCTTGTGGCTAGCCTGAATGCTTGCGTTTAATTGTACTGGAGCCCTACTTTGTCATTGGTTTTTTGTTCTAGATTGTCCCACTGCGGTAGCGCAAAGTCACGAGCTATGTTTACCTTAATTCCTCTATTGTAAGAGCGCAGCTGCGCATTGACATTTTGAGATTGTTGACATTTTCAGACATTCTGTAGCACTGACCTTTTGCTCCCACATGAAATGTCGTTTGGCTTTAGTATACCTTCGAGTCATTAAAGGCGCTACACTTTGCGTAAATGTTTCAGGAAGTTTGGTTCACTTGACCCTCTACATGTATTTTTGTTGCTTTGAATGTCCAGACAGATGCAGACAGCCTTATAAGTATCATTGCTAATTATAGTTCCACTGTACTTACTTGCTTGAAGGGTCACTAAACTGTGAATAACATGTAGTCGGAGCGAAAGGTTAACACCCGAGAACCTGTGAAACGTGAGCATTAGGCGCAAATGTGCCTTAGTTATGGAAATTAAGCCAAGTTTAGGATTCGATATGCACCACCAGTGGGATATTATGAAACAAGAGCTCAATGACATAACAGAGCCTCAATGCAACCAATAGCTAGTTCTGGGCCCACTCAAGATACGAAGGAAGATTGCAGCAAACTAAGAGGCGGAGTAAAGCGTGACTCGTGCATTTCTGTTCGTGTCAAGGGAAAAAGAACCCTTTGATGTTACCCTTGAGAACGATGCAGGTTGCATTTTCACTGGACCGTACTCCGCAGCGCCGACTATGAGGCTATAGAAGGTTGGCAAAATGAGTGGTACATGACGGGGTCGCTGTTGTAGGGTGGTGGTTTGAATTGCTTTGAAAATGCACAGATGTCTAAAACGAGATTCTTATTTTTTCGAACTATCATAAAATGCCGAGCAAGCGCGTCTGTTACGGTGAAGAATAATTCGACCAGATATGCAAGGAGGGCGGGCGCTCACTCGGTCCTGGACCAGACATTGGCGCTTATTTCTGATCTCTTGAAAAATGGAGGGGCTGCTTGCCCGGCATTTTACTGTAAGCACCTCCTTGTCACGAAATAAGCACTGCAAGGTTTCTTAAACGCTAATTCAACAAAGTACGTTGACGTAATGTTTGCCTTTATTGTCCCTTTTATTATGCTTACACTTAGCTCATTGTTTACGAAAAATCAAAATTTAGAAGTATTGAAAGCTGGGTGAGTTGGTAGGAGTTGACTACGGAAAGTCTGCTTCTCTTATGCCTTTGTAGTGTGCGCCCTGTAAGCTTTTCATTAGAATGAATGAATCGGTAACTTTGCTTAGTGACTCCGGCAGAAACTTTGGGCAGGATGGGAGAAGAGAGGAAAAGGAAATTGGAGTTTATTGCTTATATAACCATTGCATCGTTGAAAGTTGTTAAAAACGTCATCATCTGCTTGTTTGAGCCAGTGATGATTGGACACTGGAGCTAAAAAAAAAATGGTTTCAGTTTCCCAAACTATCGCTGTCATACCCATAGACGGTGTTCATATGTTGAAGAATTCTAGTACAGATACGAGAACTGCATTTAAGACGCTCACTGTTTTTACTGCTGCAGCCTGGTGACAACTGAAAATCGTGGTTTTAAGCAAATTGTTCTGCAAATGAAGAGTGTTTTCATCTTCTAGTTGTGTAGGATTTTGAGCTCTTAATAAACGTAATTTCTGTTTGAAAGTGATCTTAGGTGTGAATTTCTTTGATGGCGGGAGATTGCCCAAGTTACAGGTATTTCAATTCTATATCTAGAATATAGAACTGTTTTGAAAAATTGTAAGGCAGAAATTTCGCTTGGAAAGTACAAGTGTAAGAAACAAGGGAACAAGCCTGTGTGACAAAAGCACTCTTACTTATAGTGCATTTGCACTACAACGTAGTTCCTGAGAGACACAAGTATTTAAAGTTGGGCTTTGATCTAGTGCCATGAAAACAAGCATATGCGAACGCCTGGAACATGCAATAAAGAATTCTCACAGATTTGTACAAAAATATATTAACCAGCATTGACTCTGGACCAGGCCCACAGACAGGGTAGGTGCCTTTCCTCGGAATTGAGATGGAAGGTGGGGGGGGGTACCAAGCATAGATAATGAAATTAGGTGTTTTTCACAACCCACAAAAAGTGCTCCCCCCCCCCCCCCAACTCCAAAAAAATTTCCTGGCTACAGGGCCTGCTCTGGACACATGACAAGTAGCCTTCCGATTAGAATTTGTGCAAACATTTGAAGTTTATGTCACATTTTGTTAAAAGCGAGTGCAACATTGGTGAGTTGCGAGACAGAAAATGTCGTTAGTACTAAAAAAAATCGGTGCAATTACCTTTTCCAGAAAAGTACTGCTGCCAGTATTGCTGCGACGGCCATTACTGGCAACGTGGCATCTGTATGAATTGACAAAGTAGGGTTAGGAACAAGTGGGTGCAGCGGCGTACTTGTGTAAGGTGAGCTTAAAATGCATAAATACTTGCATAAAATGAGCCGCCATGAAAGCTTCCCAGTGGTCACTTGCTGCCGCGAGGATGCTGCACGTCCAGATGTTTGCGGTAACAGATCTAAAAAAACCCAAGTGTTTCGTCCGCCATTTCACATTGTACATATTCAAGTTGCCTTAATGTTATGAGAGACAAATAAGATTTTTATCATCCTCTCTTATGGAATGTAAAGGATTAGCCTTGAAACCTAAAAATTGATGGGTTTCTCTCAGTGGCAATGTATGGGTGCGAAGTCCCAGGCCCAGCAAAAATTAGAAAAAGGCTGTACCTCTGCATCTATCTCTTGGTGTCAAGTTGTGAGAATTCAGGAACTGCCAAACGGACCTGTATCTTAATTGTCAAAGAAAATTAGCCTTAGCTTTCTTTGGAAGCAAAGATACCAAGCCTAAAGTTCATTTGGTAGCATTATGCCAGCTACAGTTTCATCAGAGCACAAATGAATGTTGTACGTGGTTACAACCTTAGAAAAATCATCAGCTCTGCACACAAAAACCACAGGTCCTCCTCTACACCGTTGAAAGACAGTCGTGCCAGCTGGTTTTTGCTTGAGCCACGGGTACTTTTTCTTGACTAATGTAAATTCTACATATGTAAAGAGTTGAAAGTGTGTTGTTATTACCGAAATATTATGGTTGACTGAGCACGTATGTCAGAATCTCCGACAAAACTCGCCAGGACGTTCAACCTATGCCAAAGACGCAAACTTGGCTTGTATGGGAAGGTCAACTATCAAAAATGTTCAAGGTGCTTGACATCGCGAAAATGCGTTAGCACTATTGGATGACACACTTATGCAAATTCTGTCTGGGAGGGACAGTGGTGTGCGGCAAAGCTGACATTTTTTTTAGATTGTAACTGAAAGTGGAAAGTAGGACAAAGCGAGGTAGACTGTGTAAAAAATAGATGGCATTCTTAAAGTCGTAGAAAAACATCCAAGCTTAAAGAGCTTGCTTTAAAAGGGTCTCTTGAGCATTTAAGCTAAAAGCAGCGCTATAGTATTTAAAAACAACGCACAGACGATTCCTTCATGTCCGATACTTTTACTGCCGGACTCTTCTTTGAAACTTTGGCGGTATTTTGCGAGAACGGGGTTTTTTTTTTTTGTGTTTAAGAATATCGGTCTATATAATGAGATATCTGCTCACAGAACGTTACTTACCCATCTTGTCTACGTTGTCCTTGATGCGAAATATGGACACTTCGCACAGTTCAGTTACGCTATGTATGTCGACGCCACGAACCTTCGCAGAAAGCTCTCCGCCGTAGATCCACACGTTGCCTGCAGCAGGCGATTAGGTAACGATCGGCTTAACACACCGTAACCACTTTGGTCGCATTATTTTTAACGTGCGACACAGCTTGGCGTAATTCGATTTCGCACCTTCTAAGTCGTCCTTTTCGGCCGTGGGGAATCCATTGCTGTTGTCCACGAGCAGGTAATACACAACGTTCGGTTCTGGAAAATGCGTATCGTTACAGTGTGACGACATTTATGTCAAAATGGTGACAAGAGGGTAGGAATGATGCGCGGCAAACTTGAAAGGACAGGTCTATTGGCAGTCTTCATCTCGCGCATATAGTAAGGTGCCAATAGTAGTTCAGTTCTGGTATAACTCATTGATAGCCTAGTGTATTATGCATACGTAAAAGTATTAGGATGTGCGAATTGAAGAAAACATGTGCGCAAAAAAAAAGGGTAGGGGCAAGTGCAAACTCGCACTGTTTATTCAGAATTAAAAGCTCCGAATATTTAAAGTGGCAGCATAAAAAACGCACACGCAAAATAATCACATGAGTAAATACACATGCATATCCCTTCACTCTACCGATCGGGCCGATAGTACGGTCCCTCATGTAAGCCGTTCCCTGCTTTGATATAGCGAGAGCTTTCCAATTTATTCAGTGCTTTTGCTGATGAATAAACATTTTGAGTTTGTGCTGGCCACCGTATTTTCTTGTGAATGTGTGTATTTGTTTGAACACGCTAATAAAACTAATACTCCCATGTAGTCTAATGTTGATGAAACTTGCATCATAAACTTCCTCAGGGGTATTCATCAGCTTAATGTCACAATGCCAACAATTCAATTGCAGGAAAGAAACAGCAGATGCATTGCCTTGTGCAAGGGAAAGCTCTGTGTAGACTGTATTTCTTCATCCGGCTCACAAGTTAGCTGTGTTAGCTTATTCCATGTTGACAACTCGCAATTGGTAAAAGCATGGTTACGAGAAGCTATTTGAGCAATAGCAGACGGAAATCTCTCTTTCCAACATTTTATCGCATGCCACCTATACCGCGCGAGGTGCTAAGATTGGCTGAAAATTCAAAAGCCTAAAAGCCACAGTTATCAACAATTATTGCATTAAGCAGGTAAGTTTACAGCAGATGATAGGAAGGAACTTAAGCCATGCGATGTGAAAATTATTGCCCCTTATTTTCTACATTTTTTATCTGTTGTTTCAGTAATTAGAGAACAGCTTGTCGACCAATCACCTGTTGTCATTGCCGCTAAATTAAACATTAGGATGTCGCTGTATGCTGTAGTGAGGACTATGAATCAACTTTCGTTATTCATGGTTCTTCAATGTGAAACTAAATCTAAGTGCACAGGCTTTTGTGCGTTGCACACCCATTGATAGGCCGCTGCAATGACCCTGGATCAAACATGCGATCTCGTTCTTCGCCACGCACCACCAATCGCTGAGCCACCACTAAAGGCATCATCATCGTTAGTAACCGAAGGCAGCAGAAATACTGATAATGAATGGACCTCGGCATTATACGGCCAACATTACGAGACACAAAGCAATATCTGCAGGTTTGCTAATGGCACTGAGGAAAGCCAGGAATACGTTGAAAGAGCCCCGGCAGTTATTCATTTCTCACGTGGTTTTGACACGACTCTCACGAGTCCGATGTCTATGGGCGGGTCGAGGAAAAGTCGTACGGATGCTAATGTCTCGTTCAGCTCCAACGGCATTGAGAAGCAGGTGCCGTCATCGGCATCCCAAATGCGAGTCGTTTTGTCGTTGACCAGGTCGTCATGACCGAGCACCACCAGGCTGTATGGTACTGCAAGGTGCCAAGTTGAAAATAATTTTAAAGGGTATGGCACCAGGCTTGTTGGTATGACTTAACTAAAGTAGCAAAGAATGAAGACAAAGTGCTTCTAATTTATTTATGCTATTAATCTCCACAAACTCTCTTAAATGTTTCTGCGTCTCTTTAACACTACCACCACAATGGTAGCGTAGCCTGCTATAATAAAGTTGTTTCCATTTAATGTAACCTACCTGCTCAGGTTTTCATAAATTAAAAGACAGAAGAAAGCATAGTTTTGGTGTTTTCGCTCATTTTCCATGCTGCCTTGTAGTCATGAAAATGTTGGCTAACGCAAGTGAATGTGACCCTTCGTTCCTACAATCCATTTCGATCTACTCTATGCTTCAAATGCATGCAATAAGTTGTGTGCAGGGTCTTCGTTGAAAAATTTCACCAATATTTGACTGCTCATGCCCAAGTCACGAATTTATGACGCATCCCTTGGCCCACATATTTCAACTTAATGCATACAGGCCCATTTGTGGGACTTCGTCACAATACTACAAAGAAATCGACTCTGATCATATATTCAAACGAATGACCATGTGGGATTCTTCAACCTGAATATGTTAACCACTAGCTGTTGGGCCTTACTGTAATGCACAAATTTGATCCCAAGACATAGGCATATCAGGACAATCTCCAGAGGGTGCAAGAGCTTCAGTTGGTGTAACAACTTTAGATTTGCAGCAGTAGATGCTCAAAAAAAACTCCAATGAAGACCTTGACCAAACTTCGAATGCCAGACCTGCATTGAATGTGTTCCAACACAACTGATGTCCCGTCTCAAAACTTGATACACAGTTCAGCCAATTGACATCTGCAGACGATATTGTTGTAATTAAGCAAAGCTTCCTTACCACCCAGAGCATCCACCACAGTCTGCGAAGTGAAGTGCGCGAACACCAGCAAAAGCACTAGCAACATCGCTGGCTCGGAATGAACTGCCTACACAAATTGGCCTGCAGCGAGAACTGGTCGCGATATCGGGCTGTTCATTTCCTTGGTGTGCACGGGCGTCTTCCTGTCAAGGGTAAGATAAGGGCAGCCTAGACGAAACACGCACACCAAAATGAGACAAGACCACGTGTTGTGTGTAAGAAGGATCATTTATTCAAGGTCTGCTAGTAGATGGGAAGTCCGCCGCTGGAACGCACGTGCACAGGTAGCTGAAAATGAAACTCATGACGAATTAATAGCACTGCACTCTAATTAGATGTCCCCTTCCCCACTCGTTACACAAGGCTACATTAATACTAATGCCCTTAATCAGGTCTATTTGCAGCAGTTAACTGCCAATACTAAACGACACTAAGGACTGTACACATGGGTTTACCGCGCACAATTCGCAGAAAGCACTATTGTACAAGCAAATGAAGTCTGGCTATACTTTCAAAATGTTTATTTAGAAAAACAAATGTGAACAAGAGAATGGCACACATCTGTGACACATGACAGCAAAGGCATTTTTTTTTAAATGATAAGAAAATGATTTTGAAATTTTGTAATTGATGAAACATGCAAAATTTCATTGAATAGGTGGGTACAAGGTGATGCAAAATGCCTTTGCCGTTCCAGCACACCAGCGCAATGAAAATGAGGCAACGGCAATGCAAACAATGGAAACAACAGAACCATTACCAGTGTGTGATGCTGAAAGAAAATGCGGAGACCTAAAAAAAAAAAAGGGAGTGCTAATGAAGGAAGTTTGCAATGCTGACTCTCCGACAATCCTTTCTGTGTCAAAATGAGAGACGATGCGGGTGAAAAGGCTCAGAAAAAAAGTGCGCAAGCATTCCGCAAATGTCGAGAGCAGTGATGAAATGTGTTGACTTCTGAGGTGCCGCGTCTGGTACAATGCTTTTTAGAAAAATTCAAATTACTGAATTTGCAAATTATCTCAGGCCGGGAGCTTATACAATATTGAAGATGCATCACCAGATTCTTCAGATATTTCTTTCCCGCACACGAAAAACGTGGAGAACCTTTGGTCGACATTTTGCATTGCCCAAAGTCTTCAGCAGCATTTGGACATCAAAAATCTCTCTGCCTCGGGAATTCGACACATTTTGAAATGTGATGGCAGACTTTTTTTACAACTCCGGTTTGAACTTGACAGCCAGAATTGCGGGAATAACGACACGAGGCATGCGATTCCATTTCGGCCTAAAAAAAGTCTTCAGTTTGCGACAGCACATTGCCTCATTCAGGGAACATACATATTTCTCTGACGCGGTACAAGTTGATACACACTGTGAAACATGCGTTTGTCTCGAAAAATCTTGAATATGAACCGTTGCGCAAGCGAAGCATTGTATACATTCCAACAGTTGTCAAAACTGGGACGCGAGATTTTTCAATCTTACATCATTTGTCTCGAAACATCTTGAATTTCAACCTGTGTGCAAGTGACGCAACGTTTACATTCCAACAGTTGTCGAGATAGAATGGGGCGCTAGCAGATTTTTGTTTCTCAATACTACACTTTTTTCGTTCTCTCCCTTCAGCTTCTTTCTCAACGTTGATCTCACAAGCTTGTCTGACAGTGCCTCAATAAATGACAAACAAAAAGCTAAACAATACAGATGGCGGTGTTTTTCACATTCCTCAATGACTGACATGCTTGCTGCTAAAGATTGCGGTGACAGAATGAGGCTAAATACCGCGAGTCATCGTCATGCTGAGGTCTGTTCACTCTTCAGTACCGCCTGACACCGCCACCTCCTCCCATGTACCGATTTCCAGTGCCACCGAAGCTTCCACCACTGCCAATACCAGAGTGGGCCATCATACCGGAGCCGCCGGCTCCAGAGCTGTAACCTTGCGATCCCTGACCCATAGAACTGCCACCTAAGCCGCCACCGCGTGCTCCTACGCCTCCTGCAGACCAGCGGTCCGGCTGAGAGGACCAAGATTGGTGGCCAGAGTCTGGCTTACGGCCAGTCTGCATTCCATGAGCCGCCAACGCCGGATGACGAGTAGCCACCGGCTCCTCGTCCACTGGAGCTCCAATGATCGCCAGCTGCCGTGGGCCCACCTCCGAAGCGGGCCCCTCCACTACCGTATGCCGCTCCACCAGAGAAGCCTTCTTTAGATGGAAAACGGAGATCCATACGTCGCACTGGGGGCGACTCGCGCGGCACACGGTCTCTGGGTGGCCGGCCACGAAACTCTCTGTCACCACTAAAGTCACCGCCGGGCCGCTCAAAGCGCCGGTCGTCTCTGTCATGCGCCACGGTCATAGTCCCGTCCTCCGGGACCCCCTCCCAAGTGGGGCCTTTTGCGGTCTCTCCAGAAGGCGTCGCCGCCGGCAGCATCCACGCCCCCGCGAGCAGGCCCGCCCAAAACACCGGGCTCCTCGTCGTACGGTCTCTTCACTGGACGCCGCATGAGGGCGTCTGCGGCACCGCCTCCGCCAAAATCAGCTGTGCGCCCAATCTTTCGTTGGCGCAGTTCTTCGCGCTCGCGCTGGATGCGTTCCCGCTCGAGTCGCTGCTTCTCGCGCTCAAGCCGCAGGAGTTCCAGCCGCTCGCGTTCCAGCTTCTCACGTTCCACACGCAGGCGCTCCCTTTCACGCTCGATGCGGAAAGGCCTCTTCGCGCTGCCGACGTTCCAGCTCGCGCTGGACGGAACGAACCGGCGTCTTCGTTGCGCCTGAAGGGCTCGCGAGACTCGCGGTAGTCCCCTCCAGCCATGCGGCCGCGGAAGGGTCCTCGGAAGAAGGGCCGCCTGAGGAAGGGGCGCCTGAAGCCGCGCACCGCCCTGAAGCCTCGGATGAAAGGTCTGAAGAAACGGCGCCTAGCGAATCGCTCTCGCGAGTGGCTTCGGCTTCGCCTGCGCTCCTTGTCATCCCTGTGCTTCCGCTCTTTACCCTTCTCGTCCTCGTCGCCTTCCTCTTCCTCGTCACCTTCCTTTTCTTCTGCCGCTTCCTCAGCAGCCTCTTCTTCCTCAGCCTTCTCGCCCTTGTCCTCTTTTTTTTCCTTGGTGTCAGCGGCGGCCTTCTTTTCAGCCGCTGCTTTTTTGGCGGCCTGCCTTCGCAGCCGCTGGCTTTGCCTTGACGGCTGGCTCTTTGCCTTCCTTGGCGGCAGGCCGTGGTCTTCGTAGCCGCGGCGGCGGTGGCCGCTCCGGTCGTCTTGGCTTCCGACTTGCGCAAGGCGCCGCCGGGCTCGTGCTTCGTGCACTCGACCGAGATCATCTTGCCGTGAAGCTCAGTGCGGTGCAAGTGCTGAATGCACTTGGTCGCTTCCTTCGGCCGTGCTCATGGTCATGAAGCCATAACATCTCGCGCCGGGGCTCTTAGCGTTGGTGACGATCTTTGCTGACACCACCTTCCCGTGCTTGCCGAACAGGGCCTTCAAGTCGGCAGCCCGAGTAGTGTTTGCCAACCCGCTCACCCACAGGTTGCGCATGGGCTCAGCGGGCGTCTTGGGAGTGGTCTTGACCGCCTTGCCGGCTGCTGCCTTCGTCTTAGGCGTAGTGGCCTTCTTGGGCTCCGCTTTGCCACCTTCGGCGGCTTCCTTCTTGGCTTCAGGCCGCCGCCTTTTTCGCCGGAGTCTTCGCAGCCGCGGCGGGTTTCGCCGTTTCCGTCGTACTTTCCTTCGCGGCTTGGTTCTCTTCCTCGATATCAGCGTCCAAGTCGTGGTTATCGTCCGCGTGCACAATTAAGGCCTGCTCAGCCTCGTGACTAGCGTCTTCGTCCTCTTTCGAAGCCGAATCCTTCACGTTCTTTTTGTCGGCCTTGGCGTCACCGCCCGCCCCGTCACCGTCCTCTTTGGGGTCGGCTTCGCCATTGTTCAGCTTCTCCTCGCCGCCTTCGCCATCGTCCTCCTCTTCTTCATCGAGCGTCTCGATCTCAGGCTCGTCCTCCTCTTCAGACTCGCCGCCTTCGTGCGCGTCGTCATTGCTCTGCGTCTCAGACTCGGCATCGTGGGCTAACTTTTTGTTGACGCGCTTGGTGACGGTTTTCTTCGCCGACCCGACGCTGGCTGCTACCGGCGTGGCCGGCTTCACCGGCGTCGGTTCAGCGGGCACCTCGAACTCGTACGTCTCCGCGTCCTCGCCTTCGTCGCGCAGCGCGTGCGTCAGTCGTTCAATGAGCGCCGCCTTCACGCCCGTCTTGTCTAGTCCACGTTTCTCGAGCTCGCTGCGCAAGTCTATCACACGAAGCTCCGACATGGTTTTCTTCGTCGTTAGGCCTACGTTATCTGCCGTGGGAGCCATCTTGGCTCGTTGTTCTCGACGCCCGAAGCGCGCACACAACGATCACGGAAAAAGAAAGTCGTCAACACGTCGGGACGCACCTGTTCCGAGACCCAGAGGCCGGGAGGTGTAGACGTCGCTCGTTTACGGACAGTCAGCGGGGCCGGACACGAGCACCAAAGTCAAACATACATGCACGACCGACAGCTCACAAACACTCCACGCACGCCTCGGCAAAATGGCGCGGCGTTCTTATTCGTCGCACTGCATGATTGGTCGGTTCGAGCCGGGTGCAAAAGTAGAGTGTACTAGGGTGTTCAGTGGCGTGACCGCACCTCGCCGCCTGATCCCTTCCACGTTGCCAGCAGCGGCGGCGTTGCAGTCGAACAGTACTGAAAGCCGCGTGCAGGAACTGCTATGTTCTTCGGCTCCTCTGTCGCGCTTTCTTGATGCATATTTCTGCGTACCTGCCCATCATTCATGTCTAGCACATAATGCCATAGCTTTTGAAGTATGACACGCCAATCTACTGAATTTGAGCTCCATAAAAGCCCTTGTGTAAAATAAAGAATAATTCAGAAGACTGTATTTTATACTGATTTCTTCTCTCTTAATTCTTTCTTCATTGGTTAGGTGTCTACAATTTACAGAATAACTGAGCCGATTTATTGGAAGTTAGCGGTGCTCAGAAAGCTGTGAGATTAAAAAACAAATACTGTGTCACACGCACGCAGAACCAGATAGCCATAAGTAAGGAGGGGAGAGGAAGGAAATCTGAACCCTCTACAACACAAAATCTTTTCGTAATTTAACTTTTTAGGCTATACTAAAATATTTACACGCATTCACAGTGACCACCAATTGCCAAAGTCAGGTGTACTGCTGCACACCCCAACCCCCTAAAAAAAAAAAAAAGAAATCCTGGGTAGTCCTGCGCCAATAGTTTACAGTTGGCGAAGCTGATGATAGCATGTCCTCTACAAATGCGCACTGTAGATTTCACCTTTTTGACAGTACGAGGTCTCAAAACTAGTTCAAGTTTAATGTGAACGAAAAATGCCCCGCCTAAAAATAGTAGCTGTACTAAGGGGCATTGCATACGCACAATTTAAGCTGTCGATACAAAATGAGAACTGGTCAGAATGAATTGACGCAGATTAACAGACGGGCTACATATATAATTGTCACTTTTTAATATCTTTGTGTCTTGTTTTAATAGGCTTAATATGTAATAAGCGTTTCAGAAAGCAATAATTATTATCTCCCGCAAAACTGACATGATAAAACAGAGTCGTCACCGATTAATGCTGTGACAACGTTACTTATACTCGGGTTTCTCGTGAAACAATCGACTGCTTGTAGGCTCATATGAGGAACACTGCGCTCTGGATATCGTAGCGACTGCCGACAAAACGAACGAACGTAGGAGTTAATCCTACGTTCGTAGGAACGTACGCATCATAAGTGGCTACTGGCGTACGTAGGAACGTACGCCAGTAGCCACTTATGATGTAACGCAGCTCAAAGCGCTGATTGAGTAAGAAGCTAGGCGGATCCGTGCAAATTCTGATCGATTTTTTTTTTCTGGGTCGGCAGGCTCTTGAAACAGTGAACGTATTGACACAATTTCGGCGTGCTTGCATATTCACTCGTGCACCAAGGCGCGTAGCAGGTGCGTCCACTGATAAAGGCCGAAAAACGCATTAAACGCGCTAACAACGAGCAATTTCATGCTTTCGCAGGCTAGAGCGCGCGCGCTCCCATTGCAGACGCTCCTGAGATCTTTAGTATTATGCGACTACAGCGCCGCCTGCTACTGTCACCCGCCGGAGAATCAGCCGAGATGCGGCGCTGGCCGCCTCGTTCACTCCACTGCTCCCTTCTAGTACACTGTAGCAAAAGGGCCACGTGTCAACAAAGAAAACCAAATTGAATACCAGTTAGAACGCACTTGTTTTAATAACACGTGGCTTTAATAAATACTTATAAATAAAATTGATTTTATTGAAGCCAAAATAAATTCAGTATAAGAACAATAAAAGTGTTACTCATAGACATGTGTGAACGTGTATAAATGCAAAAAACAGATAGTGTGGCGCTACTAGACACTCTATTTTAGGAGGTAATTAGGTGACTGTGTTGTTTTGTCACTGCTTGCATTCAGCTGCCAGTCATCTAAACATGGCAGCCGCACAGGAAGGTTTATTGAATTTCGAGGGCGTCCGCATCAAGCCGGGAACTACGCTAATCGCATATTTAGAGAGCCTGCGCGACAGCTCCAATTGCGATGAAGACCTGCGGAACAAAGCGGGAGATTTGCTCAAGTGTGACTCCGCGGGCGTGCCTTTTGGATCGCTGCGTTCCCTGCGCGATGCCGTCAACTTCCGTCGGCGATGCAGCCCGTTTACTTGCACAAGCTGCTGGAGGGATCGGAGCTGTGCTTGCCGAGTCCCGTGACGCCTCCGCGCAACCCCGAACTCGAAGCCCGCGTGCGGAAGCTCAAGGCACAGCAGATGAATCGGGACTACGACCGCATGACATCTGATGTGGACGTTTGCCGCGCCAGGTTGGTTAACGGGCCGTCTTCGCGGGTCTCGCTTTCATTTGATACTGACGCGCCCGCTGTGCCATTATAAAGAAACTTTCGTGACGCTAATTACAAGAAGCGAGGATGGTGTACCAGCTTCGCGCATGCAGTTGGTTTTGTCCGCCAGCTTTTTTTTTTTTCGATTACGACTCACCATCAGCAGCTAGACGTGCATCAGCTGCAGCGCAAGAACCCGCTGCATACCACAGTTCCTGCCGAAATACTGTTTCTGATAGGCAATGTTTCTAATCTGTAGACGCTCGTGAAGCCCAACCGTGTTGCCTATTGGCGCTTCTCGCCAACGTCATGTCTGCGAGATGTGGGGAGTTTTTGGGTTGCTTAACACTACGAATCAACCACACAACGACATTGTACCCATAGGCGAGCGCAGGGGAGGTGGTGGGGGCATTCCCCAGTCACCTAAAAGGGGGGGGGGGGCGTAGAGTTTGCCCCTTCATTCACCCCCCCTGCCACCGAAGGGAGACCCAACACACGCCTACGACTGTACCCAAGTTGATCTCGGGAGTGGCAAGCTGTGGAATGATGCCATGAATGCCAAGGAATGGGGAAAGTAGCCAAACACGGTGGAGTTAGGTGATGAAATGAAGTTCGCAGGACTAAAACGGGAATTGGCTAGTGCAAGATAGTTTTAATTTGGGATCATTAGGAGCGGCCGCGCCTTCGTTCTGCAGTGGACGTGAATAGGCTGATTGTGACAGCAATTCAATCGACTTGTGCTTTTTAATAGATAGCTCTTAAGCAGCATATTAGAAAATCAGTTCACTTCTCTCTTTTTTTTTTTACCACTATTCCCCAAATTATTTATGGGGAAACGTACAGAAATTATTCTGTTTTCTGCTCTGAGGGATTTACTTATAAATAAGTGCATGAAAGTCATTTGAGAGAAAATTTTGCTGAATTATTACTGTAGATCACGGAAAAAGAGATTTAGTTCTCCTGCATCTCTTGTAGTCGCTTTTTCTAGTGTGGGTGTGAGAAGTGTTATTGTTAAATTATTATTTGATGCAACGTGTGCTTGAAAAAGAGAACTGAATGCTCAAGTCGCCTTTGGTAAGGAAAATCACGATGTTTTGCTATAAATGGCCTCAATTACTCCATGGTCAGTTGGCATAATGAGAGTGGGGCTCAACCCTCCCCGCCACAATAGTTTACAGCTTAGCAGGTGTATATCTAGCTAGTACACATACACAAGCAGCTTGGTCCCCCTCCCCCCAAAAAGGATTTCTGACTACACCCCTGCTCATAGTTGTGGGTCTGCAAAACATGGGAAATATGCTATACTTGTCAACAGGAAGCAAAAAGTTAATTAAAAATAGATCAAACCAAAGTGTAACTGTTGTTCAGTTGATGTCTCTTGCCTTGTTACTCTTCAGGTCGTCTCCGTTCACAAAGGTCGGCGACGAGGTTCGCCAGGTCAAGCAGCAGTCGTGGGCCGTGGTTAACCTGCTGGTCACCGTTGGCGGGACTTTCGCCTTCTTCTACAAGGCGGTCGAATATTCGCTGCCGGATCCCCACATTCCTCTACAGGTCCTCGTCGGACTCATCACCTCTATTGTGGTGGCTGTAGCTGAGTTGTATTTCTTAATACGTGTCATCTAGTCCACAGGAACTTCACGCCTTTACAGTGGCTTTCGATGTCTTGTTTTGGGCACATTTCAGAGGCTGGACCCTTGTATGTTGACATGTCATAACAGTGCTCTGTTTGTAGAATATGTTCAAATGTTTGGTTCACATTGAACAATGAATGTGCCTCGTTTGTGTGACTTTGCAATCAATGCTATCAAACTTGGGGTGTAACCTTACAACGTTCTTTGGCCGGTACAGTTGTTTCAAGGTTTTAAAAATAAAAGGAGTGTGTGAAAAAGACGGGACAAAATAGACAGATAGCCGGTAGTGATGAACACTTGTCCGTCCATGTGTCTTTTGCCCTAGCTTTTTCGTGCTCTTCTATTATTTTAAGGGCTCTAAAACACTACTTGCTGTTGTGAATATATGCAAGAACAGAAAGAAAAAAGCACATTAATACACAGGCTTAAACGTGCATTTGGCTTTCTTGAGTCTTTGCATGTGTGCATTACAGTGGGCGCCTCACAAAGATAGCCACAATGCAACACCAAAATATGGTTGTGCCAGCTACTAACTACTGAAATTTGTATTTAAATGAATGAAGTACTGGAAGCTCTTCACTCTATTTAATGCACAGATCTGCTGGTGTGGATTTGATAGGTCTAAGGAGAGCAGCACTGAAAGTTTGGTTCGACAGAGGCAAGTATGCGACACTTACAAGCATTTGGTCATATTTGATGTGTCACTGCGGCACGTGTTGTAAAAAAAGCTGCTCTAATCATGTGCCCTCCCTAGAAAGACATATGCGCAACCACATGCAAAGGTGTTAAGATCGGCAGCCGAGACAATTGACAGGTGTTTGAAAGAGCGCTATTGTTTATTGGCTGATGTGTGTCATGCTTTTTGTTGGCTTCAAACGTCCCATTAAACTTTCGAACACACGTAACTTTTTAGAATTACCGACCGGTTAACTGCATGAGAACAAATGCATATTATGCAAATGGGATTTTAATGGTTGGCACTAAGTAATTTAAGCAAGCCTGTTAAATTCTGTGGACACGTGCTTCATTCAGTATGTTTCATTAGCAGATGACATCCAAGTTTCTCTCTATACAGCTCTAATCTTCCCGTTTATCGAAGACCAAGAAAGCTTTGAGCGTACACAGGAGCCCTGATTGTATGTGTTCCCATCAAAAAGGAAGCATGTCTTTCTTTGTGTTTTACTTTACACCACCAAAAATGTGTGTTGTTTTTTCTATTGACAGCTTCTGGAAAGATCTTTTTTTTTGTAAGTGCATATATTCATTTAGGCAGAACAGCTTTGAGAAAGCGAAATAGCATTTGTGACTCATTAGCTGGCTTTAATCTTGAAGCTGTGGTGAGTCGCATTTATTTAATGAGTGGCTTAAACATGAGTGGTATAGCAGCAAAAACTGCGTCTAGTGGCTCTGTGAAACAGCGATTCATAGCTAGGTTAGCGTATGCATCGGCTACATGGAATAGCTTCTGAGAAGCCTTTCATAACAGTCGACTGATGAGGCTTGGTGCAGATTGTGTTCTGTAGACGACTCACCAGAAAAGGCCATGCCTCAATCAGGATCCTTAGTGCACTGTTCGCTGTGCAAAGGTTATATGTACAGTTTGATCCACTGTTAAAGGGAACACTTGGAATGAGCTCCTTTCATACTGCTCTCAACTGCAAGTAGATATGGAAACATTGCTCATGCTTAGCTCTTGCCTTTATAATAAGGCGGAACTGTTAGCCACCAGCAGTGATATGCAAATCATGCCACTATGCTTGTGCAACAGAGTAAAATCCATACATGCATTACATGCAAGTGTTCTCTTCAACAATGGATCTGCCTGTACATTTGCCTGTGTGTGTGCACGGGGTGTGCCTATATATTAGGGAGCACCTAATAAAACCTTGGGGAAGAATCTGTGCAAATGTGATTTAAAAACTGTTTGCTAATACAGTAGAATCTCGTTACAACGAACTATGCGGGACAGCCAAATTTAGTTAGCTTTTCTAAAACAATGTAGTTGTAAGGAAAGGACACAAAAGTGCTGTGTTTAGGTACGATTTGTGGCTAAAAGGACTTAAAAGCGCCGAGAAACGTCAAACCGAAACTGAAGAAGACGAGCGGAGGGCAGGTGGCACGAAGGCCATAACAAGAAATGAAAAAAAGAAGAGGAGAAGAAGAAGGAACGTGCGAAAGGGAGCTCGAGCGTGGAGGCCACGAAGGCAGACGAAGCAGTGCGCCGCTCGAGAGGACGAGTTCCTGGGAGCGTTCCTGAGCCGGACGTGGGACCCGTACGTGTCGGCCAGGTCGAGCTCCGGCGTGTTCGCTCGGGGTCGAGTCCGCCGGCCGGTACAAGGTGCAAGGACGGGGCCTGCTGAACGGCTCCTGCCTGGGTGCAGTGGCCGGGAGCAGGTTCGTGGCGAGGCCTACCGGGCGTGGTCCTCGTGAGCAGGGCCTGACCCTGAACCTCAGGAGTTGCGACCCTGACTGCTGGCTGCGACGTCTGACTAAACGGCGCTGCACACGGTAGCGCATCCGTGTGCCGTCAGCCGTTCCAGCCGCTCCAGCCGTGCCACCTTTGCCCTCGCGCACGTCGACGATCGCATCATGCCGGGACGACGGGGACCCAAACTGTGAGGCAGCGTTTTTCTCTTGCGAACTGAGAACTCTATGCGCTGGACTCGGAGTAAGCGTAGCCGCGAGCTCTCCGCATGCTAGAGGTCTGACTCTCGTACATGTTGCGTGACGCGTGGCGTGTAGGGTTGGACATATAGTTTTGTTTTCACCTGCCACTCCGTTCTCTAGTGTATAATATAACGCTTCTCTTGTTCGCATCCATTGTTGATGTTAATCCTTTTTCGTCCGCTATCAACAAACACAGTGACGAACGTCCTTAACCATCACAGTAGTATTGAAAAATGGTGCCCCCAATTTAACACAACGAAAATCACGTACCTTTGCAGGAGGTGCACATGTTGGGGCGTGAACAATAAACGAAAACACTGGGCACCATGCGGAAAAAAATTTACTGCTTAAAGAGATTTGTTATCTTCTTCTGGCGGGTAGAAAACAGACGCTGGTGCATATATGCCTTCACGTCCGCAACCTTCCTAAGGATGTCATCGGGTACGTCTTTGCAGCACCCTAAATACGATCGGGTCTTCTCAAGGAAGTCCACAACATGCGGGCTGGAACTAGTCTTTTCGTTGTCAGAGTCTCAGCATCTGCAGTGTCGTCCTTGTTACTACTACTAGAGCAAGCTTGCTCCCGCCCTTTACTGACGATTTCTTCGCAGGTGAGCTCTGTGACGTAGCGGCTGTGCAGTCGCTGTTACGTAATCCTCAAAGGTTACCACAGCGTCTACTGGGAGCTTCTCGGTAAGCTCATTTCACAGCTCTGTATCGAGCTCCACTTCATCATTGCCGTCTCGTGGTGTAGGCTCGCAATCCTGCAGAGCAAGCAAAGTCTTGAGAAGGCCTGCCTTTCCCCAGCATTTGCTAATGGTGCTGGCCTTGATTTTCTACCATGACCCTGGCAGCTTTAGTCGTATGTTGATGAGAAGGCGCTGCACAAGTCGCTTCCAAAATTCGGTTTTGACACATCTGATGATATCCTGGTCTAAAGGTTGTAACAAAAAAGTACAATTTGCGGGTAGAAATTTAAGCTGCATATAGCTCAACTGCACATTCGCCATGTGTGCTGAACAGTTATCGACGATTACAAGAACCTTCCTTTGTTTTTTCTTCTTTGTGTCATCCGAGTTGCAGCAGCCACTGCGTGAACAATTCACATGTCATCCACGCCTTCTTATTTGCCCAGTAGTCACAAGGCAATGAGACAAAGTTTTTCAAACAGGCGAGGTTTGGCGGACTTGCCAATAACAAGAGGTTCGAGTATTTCCGTGCCAGTGACGTTGTAGCAGAAGAGCACTTACACGCAAACTCGCGATTTTTTTTCCGTCCTTGCATTTTTCGCCTTTAAAGTACATTCTTTTGTCAGGCAACAGATTATAAAAACATGCCGCTTCGTCGGTGTTGAAAACTTACGTCTGGACGGAGTGACTCGACGGTCTCCTGAAAGCGCTTGTTCCACCAGGCAAACGCACTTCCAGTATACGTTGCCTTTTCTTCCCCGCACACGACTTGCCACACGATGTCGTTGCTTTGCCAGAACTGATAGAGCCATCCGGCACTTACATCGAAGCCGAAGGTGCCCATAGCAACAGCGAACTGTCGTGCCTTTTCATGAATAATAGGGCATGACAAGGGCACACCGTGGTGTCTGGCATCCTTGAACCATGTGAGGGTGGCAGCGTGGACGTTTCGGTAGTCGTCCTGCCGCAAGCGTTTTCTTGAGGGAGCAGGCTGTGATTCTCGATGTAACTTCAAGATCTTCTTTCGATCCTTCAGTATCGTTGCCACTGTTGATGGCACAATATCATGCTCCCTGCATATGTCCACTTGCTTTTTTCCATCATTTTTATTTTCAGAATGTGCACTTTTTTTTAAAGTGAAAACGGCGCCGTTTCTTTTTAACGCTGAGGCCAGGAGAAATCATTGCCAGAAAAGCTAACTCGCAACGCGATCTCAACTTCGCGGCTCCAACCGTCAGCAGCTAACAACGTGGGGGAGAAGTGGCACTCAGCCTACAACCGCTGCGCCTGCTCCGACCATGTGACTCCGGCGCTGTTGCATGCATTTGATGCTCACGTTGATGTAAACACTAATGGGGCTGCACCCGTCGAGGTGTTTTTTTTGCGCATTCTGCTGCAGGTGATGATAGGAGTAAGCTTCAGGGATTTTCATACCAAAACATCCACGGAAGTTCGTAATAATGAATCATCTAGTTGATTTTGGTGTTAAATTGCATACATTAATCTGAAATATTCGGCATTCTGAAATTCGTAGTTCTGAAAGTTTTTCATATTGGCAATATAGGCATTCCGGCAGGGATTTAAAAAAAATCCTAAATCTGAAAGTTTCGTTAATCTGATGTTCGTAGTAGCGAGATTTTACTACGTATACCATGCATGTACACCTTATCGAGTGTATACAGTGCACTGGTCTACGAAACCGATGGAGAAAACACCTCATCAACAAGAACGGCGGAAAGAAGGACTGATGGAGAGTCAGACACCACCAAGAAAAGTCGCTAGCTTCGGAGCTGACCGAATAGTAACCCTCTAGATGGGACCGAATCGGTCCCGAAACATCAGAGCTGTACTGTAAAACACACACACTTCCCCTTTGTACTTCTATTCAGCCACCAAAACAAGTCAGTACTTACATTTGAAGTCCAACCAGGTATTTCCTTGTGTACCGGTTGGGATTGTGTGCTTACCTTCATGCATATTTGAATAAAGGTTGGTTTATTTTTCTATTTATAGCATTTCTTATTACTGATGACACTCGGTCATGAAGCTATGACATTGGTCTTATTAGAAGAAAAGCAATGGCATAACAGGGAGAAACGAGGCTGGTAGCGAATGAATAGTAAATGTGCGTTATGCTTATCGAATGCAAGAAAAGATAGCTGATATGGAAAAATGTACAAATTGTGGGAAACATGACACAGACATAGTGCAAGGCTGGAAAGCCTAACTCGTGCTGGAGTGATATGTTTACCAGAAAAGCATTTAACTTGTCATGGAACGATGACAAATGGCCAGGAAAAACAGGCATAAGGGAGGGTGGTGACAGACAATAGTGTGGCCGCAGTGTACTGATGGTGACGACATTCAAAAGGAAAACATTGAGTGCGGGGGATAACAATGGCCTGGTGCTCCTTCAGCATTTCCCAGAATACGCTTGGACACTGTCCTCAAAGAGGCCCTGCAACACTTTTCCAAGTAATTATTGAATGAATTTTTTAAGAGAGTTATTTGCTGCATAAATTCTTACAATCCATCAAGTTGAGTGGAGTTATAGAGATTGGTTGCATGCTATAATTGCTTTCCCTATTTTCTTGTCTCGACGAGCGTGCTCGAGTCTCAGCAGGAAGGGAATGCATGGGTGAATGAAGTCAGGTCTGTACGCATAATGACCTCAAGCCTTTTTTTTTTTTATTGGAATGTGCGGCTTACTTAATGTGATCGTGAGTGCACACCAACACTTGGTGATCTTCTGCAGTGGCCTTGTTAGCTATGCAACTCACAATGATCATTTTAGGCAATGGCCATGAGTTCCTGTATGTGACATCATTTGTAGAAAGAAGAGGGAACGATTTGTAGCTGACTTTGAGAATGAATTGTAAATTCCGGGTCCCGTGCTGCGCTACAATGTTTGGCTTGTGTGTTTTTGGAAGCCTCGACTACTTATCGGCAGCGTTTTCTGACAGTGCTGAAAAAGTGTTGTGCGGCCTCTTTAAGGGGTTTGGATTTGTCTTGGCAGGATGTTCTCGCATCGCTTGGCTGATGTCAGGGTGTCTAACAAAGGTTGATGCTTACACAGGTGAATGCCTGCAAAGACTGAGCCAAGAACTTGACCATCTGCAGCTTTGACTCCCTGGACACCATCTGCTTCTGACCACCTCTGTCCTACAATGCCGTTTCACTCCCACCTCCCTTGACACATAGCCCGTCTTGTGGTGATGCATCCAGAAAGCACATTTTCTTCTCAATCTTGATGGCACTTGGTATGTGGCTTGGACTGCTTTGTTTTGTTTTTTTAACTGGTCTGTGTCGGCGCATGTGACACGCTCATTGCCAATCAAGCTACGCCATTCTTTTAAGGGGTCTGTAATTGCACTGTGTGGATGACTCTTGCTGCATTCCATATATTCCGAAAATCTGCGGAGTTCTCAGAATAGGCAAAGTGACTTTTGGTAGGGATATCATTTATCGATTCAAAGTTTTCAGAAAAGTTATTATGGCTTTGAAGCAGTGGTAAATGTAAGGCTAAGTGGCACCTGAATATGCTTCCCATGGCGTTTCCAAACATAATGAAAGTATTCATAATGAAAGTATTGGGAGCACAAACTAACGGCACGCAAGAGAGGAGACAAACTGCGCTTGTTTGTCTCCTCTCTTGTGTCCCGTTAGTTTGCACTCCCAGTACTTTCATTATGAATATATACCAACTAACCCGCCTATCAACCTTTGAACGATGACATAAACGTTGAGCCTTGTACGTCGGAGGTACTGGGCACACGTTCAGTGTGGTGCTGGGAAAGCACCCCTGCATTTTCCTATGGGTAGAGATGATCCCCTGGCCGACAATGCACCATGTTTGGGGATTCTTGCATTCAGAGAAGCTCATATAGAGATTGCCTGGTGCAGTCTTTGTGCCTTTCATCCTATCAGAGACAGCACAGTTGTACAGCACCCAATGTGAAAGGGCTGTCAATTAGTTTCTACCAGGTTAAAAAGGCTCATCCTTTGCATTCATAGCTTCTTATATCTCTATAAACATAAGATGGGTGCCATATGCTGTTAGCATCAGTTACGAAATGATACATTCTAGGCTACCCACATTAGCATGCATATCTATTGTATTGTTTATTTAACACCGGATCTATTACAAGAGTACTGGCACATTTTTTTTTATTTTGCAGTATACTACCTGAAGTCGACCCTTGCGTTACAGTCAAATACCGAAATTCAAGTTGTCTGAAAAGTGCAGTGACGCACACAATTTTTTTAATCTCGTTACAATTGAGTAAATACGGTAAGCGTGCACCAGCACTTTTAAAATTTTTCAATATTGAGAGCCTCGCAGCAGTGTCTGCTCATTTATAGTTTCAGGGATCCTCAATCACATGCTAACCTTGTGAGTGAAAAAAAAAAAAAAAAAAAACGCACCTGTAATACATGTTAGCTCTGCAAACTTTCCAAAAATTTATCCATTGTGCCAAGATTGCCAGGTAATTACGCTGGCTAGCTTATGATGCTCCTTGACGTACTGGCCACCTTAGAGCTGTTCTATCAGTAACAATTTCGTAATTTAGATGAACTTCAATCATTTTACATTCAGTGTTCAGAAATTGGAGCGAGCTATCGATTTCAAGTATAGCAATTGATATGTGCGCTTTCTGGAGATAACCGCCTTACGCTGTTGCGAATCTGGCCAAGGAAGGTGATGCTGGCTGTGGTGCAAGTGCAATATTGTGTCGGTGAGATGTGAACAATGTATGCTTTAAATGAACCTACTTACGCTAATTGGACCTAGTTCGTTGAATCTTTATTGGTGAACACTTTAGAAATAGCAAAGCAAAAACACAGCTCCTCCATCCCCCCTTCTTATGAGCTTTGTGCACTTCTATTGTAACGCTGTAAAAAACTGCGATGAATGCAACGCGTCATTTTTGGGTCCAAACAGTGCCACCGATGGGGATCGCCGCCCCCAAAACTGGTGGCCCTCCCTTTGCCTCCGAAATTGTTCACTGTGGACAGGTGAATAATCTCGCAGGGCTGCGTTCGCACTGTTATTTTGGGAAAGCATTTTCACGCTTCTGGCGCTAGATGTCACTGAATCTACACCTGTCATCATGCTTTGGCCACAAAAAATAGTAGTAATAATAAAAAATGGCATGCGCCGTCTTTGTCAAGGCCACCGTACATGTGCAGACTACTCACAGAGACACATGCTTCCCACTCCAATATCATAAATCTGTCAAATTTCTTCCGTCGTGCTCCTTCTTTGTGGCTCGAAGCAATGCCTGCCGCCGCATCACAGAGCACTGCATGAGTAAGGTTGTTAAAAGTCCGTTGACCTGCATTTTGGCCTACCATTTATGCAGTGCTCCTTTGTATTAGATTTTTAAATACCGTCAAGTTATTTTGACTGAAAATGAAGCTAGGGAACATTAATTGGTAACAACATCGTCACGTCGCTCTAGAGGTTCAAGTAGGGTTTATTTGGCATAGAGGTCACACAGCAGGACTCTTGTCATGACGCATCGCTTGGGTGTGCACTTGATAGAGAATAGGGCATGCTCTTCTTTTCTGGTCTAGTGTCTCTGCATAGGCATGCCACCCACTGCTACATGCGGCATTATTCCCTCCTCTGCGAAAAACAGCATTGCCTCAATGCTGCTGCAAGGTAGGTAAGAAGAAAAAAAAATAATTAGGCAGATTAAACAGTGTGAAAGTATAAGGATGATAAAATGCTTAAACTCACGCAGTCAATGAGGGTTTAGGCGTATTACAAAATAGAAACGATCGACAGAAATATTATCAAAGCGCAAAGTAGGACTTATGCACATAACGTGAACAATGTCGCAGCTCGGTTGTCTTCTTTGTGTTAGTATTGAGGAACCCACTGTCCAGAAATACTTGGCAGTTTATGTCGCTCACGTGGCGCAGCACCTGATATGGTCCCGAATACCGGCTTAGCAACATTTCAGAGAGGCCACGGCAACTAACGGGTGTGCAGCTGTGTCAGCTGGCGAACTTCCTCGGCATGCTTGGTGAATTCTTGGCGTCACTTGTTGACTGATCTGCCTCTGGACAAGGAAGCATAGCCTCCAACATCGTCTGATCTTTGCGGCCATAGAGAAGGCGAAATGGTGTGGCCTTCTGAACGGCTGTGCTGTAAGCGAACATCACATAAGGTAGTATCTGATCCCATGTTTTGTGTTAGGCGTCAATATATATGGAGATCATATCTGTGAGTGTTTTATTTAGTTGCCCACGTAAGTCCGTTGCTCTGTACATGGTAACCAGTTGTCTTCTGATGCGTGGTGTTGCTTAGCCGAAAAACCTCATCCATAAACTGCGCAGTGAGTGCTATCCCTTGGTCTGTTATTACTGTAGAGGGAGCACCGAGACATACCTCAGTATCGGCATAGCGTGTCAAATAGTCAGTTGCAACAATCACCTATTTGTTGCAGTTAATAGACACGAGAAAAGGGCCAAGAAGTTCCATGCCGATTTGGTCAAATGGCTTGCATGATGGTGATTTGCGATACTGGCATTCCCGACAGCCTTTGACGTACTGTTTGAGGTATGCCAAAAGTCCCGGCCAGTAGTATGTCTCGGCTACTCTGGTGAGTGTTCGTGAGTAGCCTAGGTGGCCAGATGTGGGCTCGTCATAGCATGCGAAGAGGATGTCGTCCCGCATGTCTCTTGGAACCACAAGGAGACAGGCGCGGCTTGTTGAATGGGTGTTTTTCTTATACAAGACTTTGTCCTGAAGACAAAAGGATGTCAACTTGCGGGCTAGATGGTGTGGTACGACTGCACCCTCTAAATAATCGATGACCAGTCAAATCTCGCCGTCGTCTCGCTGACATCTGCTCAAGTCCGATGGGCTCAGGGCACCTAGGAAACTGTAGTTCTCTTCTGTTTGCTCACTGACTGGAGGAATTGGTGCATGTAACAGTGTGTCAGGCGTCTTCATGCTTCGGGCCGGACTTATAGACGATGGTTACATTGAATTGCCACTAGGCGCAAGCTCCACTGGGCCACTTGTCCTGAGGGATCTACGTATGTTCGCCAGCCAACAGATGGCATGATGGTCCATGACAACTTTAAATGGACAGCCAAAAAGGTGAGGGCGAAGCTTGGTGACTGCCCGTATGATCGCGAGACACTCGTTCTCTGTGGTCGAGTAATTCAACTCGGCACAGGACAGCTCGCATCTCTCTTCTCCATGACGATGCTGGACAATAACTGCACCGAGGCCGATGTTACTGGCGTCAGTATGCACTTCAACTCGGCATAATTGTCAAAATGTGCAAGAATGGGTGCTGACTGCATGCGCTGCTGTAGTTCGGCAAAAGCAGTCTGTTGCCCGTTATCCCAGACAAATGGTGTGTCATCTCTTGTAAAGCGAGTCAAGGGTGCTGTTATTATTGAGAACCGAGTAATAAATCGCCAATAACTGCACAATCCGATTGATTGATTAATTTGTGGGGTTTAACGTCCCAAAACCACCATATGATTATGAGAGATGCCGTAGTAGAGGGCTCTTGAAATTTCAACCACCTGAGGTTCCACCTGAGGTTCTTTAACGTGCACCCAAATCTGAGCACACGGGCCTACAACATTTCCGCCTCCATCGGAAATGCAGCCGGCCGCAGCCGGGATTCGATCCCGGGACCTGCGGGTCAGCAGCCGAGTACCTTAGCCACTAGACCACCGCGGCGGGGCAAGTGCACTATTCCAGGAAGCGTTGAACAGCCTTTTTGTCGGTAGGAGTGGCAATATGCACCAGTCTTTGATCAAGGGACCAGATTTCAGAGCGTTTTGTGTCTTGAACTGGATGGCAGCCAACAGGGGCTTATGAAGTGGTGGAGTGGTTTTCACGGGGGGAACTTGCATAACCCCACTACTCTGGGTTGCTCAGTAAATCATTTGAACATACAATGTTTAACACTTCGACTTGGTGAAAAGGCTTATCTTGTACTAACAGCATGCATATTTGAGGACAGGTTTAGAAAGCTCTGATTTTAATCAGTGTTCATCTCATTTGATATCCACCCTGTTGCTAAATCTGACTGAATGTTCAACCAGTTGCCGAAACACAGTGAGGCTGTCTTATTAAGACAAACGTATTTATTTCAGACTCTTTATACGGTACAACATGCCCTACAGTCACAGGCATATAAACAGCAGCTGTACAAATAAATACAGACTTTGCGAAGAATCTTTTTTTTCTCTCAGTTATGTACAGTTCGTGGTATATAATAAACATTATGTGCAATAATGCTGTCTGTCAATCTACAGACATTTATATTTGGTTAACGTGGCAGCTGGCCACATGCACACACTCATCCAACATTGGTGAACATTTCACATTTCAAGACTAGGTTCACCATTATCACTTTTTGAATAGCTCGTCACAACAATACAAATCGCATCACGTGCAGCGCTCACAGCGAACTTTGCCAAGTTCAGTATACGTAAATGCGGAGCAATAATCAGGATGGTAAATGCTTTGAGATGGAAGAAAATAAAAGGAAATCTGGAAATGCACTGCCAGTATCTTGCAGAAAAGTCGGAACAAGATTTGGAGCTGTCTGAAATTGTAATATACAAGTTTGAATGGATTTGTCCAAGTCTTCTCAGTATATCCTTGAAAGAGCATTTAAAATTTTTGTTTTGCTTATTAAATACATAGACACAGTTGTTCCAACCAAGGTTACATAAATGCGGTTCTTTCTGCTCTGCGAGCTTTGAAGATGCTATTTTTTCAACTCTATCTACGTGTTCATAAATGATATAGAAGCCATACATCATACGGAACACTGGACACAATACCACAAGCCACATCGGAGCTGTTATGTCTGCCTTGTGCTACAGACCAAGACTTTTAAGCTCGCGGACTTTTGCTTACCTACATTGCAGCCACATGTACCTTGTTGTGAATTATCCACTGTTCTGTCGCTGCCGTTAAACATCATCACAGCTTGCTTTGATTTTTGTTTTTCATGGTTTCAGATGACCGTATCATGAAGAGCTCTGCTGTACTGACACTGTCAGGAAATTCATAAGCATAAACTTTTCTTCCCTTGTTGATAAATACCATTCTCCTTATAAAAGCGATGAAATATTTCCTTTTATTAGTCCATCAATTTCGTTTTGGAATCCTGCCATTGCGCGTGTCACGGCAATTGCGTTTGAAAAACACTTGGACTAGCTGGCAGAAGTGGAGTGTTCGTAATGCTTTGATCAAGTTCGAGATGGAAGCATTCCCTTACGTTGTGTAATAGCATTCCAAATGCGCGACTTAACAGACTCAAGAGGGATTGCGTTACGCTTGACCTGACCTTGTGTCACAAGAACAGCTCCAATGCACACAAAGTGACAAATGCAAAGTGTTGTACAAGGAAAACACAGAAAAAAAGGAAATATGGGTCGACAGTTTTAGAAAGTTCTATCCTGTTGTTCTCTCATTCATAAGCTGCGATTGGTCAGCCAAAAAGTTGCTTGCAATTGAGCATGTGGCCTTAGCTCTGACTTGTAGGTAAGACCTTGTAGTACAGGCATCTGCGTTCTTGTCTAGAATGCTCCACAGATGGAAAGAGCAACTGTAAAGCAGGTTGCTAGGTTCACAACACCTCGCTGGTGTGTAACTTACACGGTCCGGATAACTATCAATGCCGACGAGGGTTGTTTTTGCGAACCAAGCAGTAAGACGCGAATATGGTACCTTCCGTCTTCTGTCCTGTGCCCTAGGCAAGAACGTGGTCGTCAGTACTACTACTACATGCCGGCCAACGTCATTGCGCCTGCCTCTTCCATGGGAGTCATGCCCTGAGATAAAAAAGGTCTTTTGTTCCTCACGATGACGCACAATGCGTGTCGTCCACACAGTGCACAGTTCAGAGAAAGAGACGGCGGTCACTAGCTGTGTCCTGACGTGGCATAGAGTTCGTTGTCAACCATCCCGGTGTGCATTGTCCCCCTGACAATCTCTGCCCCGAGCGGATGGTCGACGTATACTTTGTCCCCTTCCACGACGTGGGGCGCTAGCGACACCAACGGAGCCACGGCACCGGCTAGGGACATGGCGACCGAAGAGTTGTAGTAGTCGTCCTCGTCTGGAGGCGGTATTGGAGGAAGGTCACGTAGCTTGACGCCATTTGGAATGGCGGGTTTGTTCAACGGTTCCTCTCTGTTGAGAGAGAGAGAGCATTTCGAAAGTCTGAGACTCAAGAACAACACTGCTGTACAATCTACAAGATGCTAACAGTAATGTATTCCATACGGATTGATTACCTATGAAATCCTGTTGATGAGGTTGTGAAGGAAAGCATGGTAAGAAGAAAAGTAAAAATTGATGTCATTTGTCGGGTGAGGGTGCTTATGGCATAATGTTCATAGTACGCATCACTATCAGAAGGTATTTATGGGCATATAGCATTAGCATTCCACATTTCTTATGGTTTCATTGTTACTAAAGAGGTCTGTGCTGCTCTGTCTTGCTCTTTTTTTAAAGGAAAACACGACGGTAACAGAGAAAAGGTACAATGTAATGGCATTTTGCGTGTCCTATGCTTTCAATGCTTGTGTTTCTTATACAAAATGTCTGTTATTAATGCTCTAATACAGTCGAACCACTTTATAAGAGGCACTGATAAAAGAGACAGATGGGTATAAGAGAGACCAGTGTGCCTAAGGTAAAATAAAGTTGATAAGAAAATGTATATGGGGTACCCTGTTATAAGAGCCATATCATATCAGAGACAAATGCTGCCTGGAGCACGCCTCTTATAAAGGGGTTTAACTGTAATCCCATATCCATCCATATTTCGGCTGCCATACATGTAACTGTGCTGTTTTGCTAGAATGCTTCAATTCTCTTCAAAAGCCAAAGCATGCTGTGAAGACACTTTTTTTTTAGGCTATTATCAGCCCTTTCTGTACTTTATGCAATAGCATGACCTCAACTACCGACATCATTTCATGTTTGACTCCATCTCAAGTTAGTTTCTATAACCTTGTGGTTGATAGAGGCGTTAAAAGGGGAGATTCATGCATGCTTTTGCATTCATTTTCAGGCTTTGGCTGTTATGAATTGAATGTAATGAATTAGGCACTTGTTCAGCATTATCAATTTCGGCCCCACATGAAATGACTCAGAGCCTTGTTTGTTGTCACTCATCTTCTCCTTGATGTTTCAGTGTATGCACTGCACAAGATATGTGACAGTGTCCTTGCAGAGGAAACACTTTGCCAGTACTTCAGTGTTGAATAATGGCAACATTCCTTACAAAAGCCTGCAAAATTATGTTCTCTTCAGGAGATGTGTTTCATTTCAGCCACATTTTACCTGTAACGTGCGGAGAGATTCAAGCTCGTATTCCATTCATGTCTATCTGTTTTTATTAGAAGGAGACAATAGTCAGAAGTTGCTAAATATTAAAATAACCTAATCTATCGCATGATCAAAGCCTTGAGCTTGTGCTCGTAAGCCTAGAACAGCAGGCTAACTCACTTTTGCTCTTTGATGAGTCGGGACTTTCGCTTCTGATCGAAGTCAACTTTGGCATACAATGCTGGCGATGACTCCCGTTCATCCTGAATGTCATCCGCCGTGGATGGCAGCTCCGTGTGGGTGACGGTGACGCCGGCGCTGGGTGTCGGGCCCGTCGTGATGGAAGTGACGCCTCCGAAAGAGAGCCTGCGATGCTTGGAGGCCAAGGCAATCTCTTCGTAAATGTTTTCCTTCGACGAGAGCGAGCTCTTGCGACTCGGCGTCAGGCTCTTGCGGCGGTCTCCAGTTCCCTCGGCCTTCAGGCTTGCGCGGTGGCCGCCATTGGTGAGGTGGTTGTTGTTGTGCGCGGCTGTAGAGCCGTTTTGCTGTGCGTTCTTCAGCGGTATCTCCATGTAGAAGTCCTCGTTCTGGTAGATAGTTCCGCTGCTGTCCGTGTAGGAGATGTTGGCGCTTCCGTTGTTGGAGGGGAGGCTGGTGCTAGGTACCTTTACCGGCGGGTTCTTGGCTCTCGAGAAGTACTTCTTCCTGCAAGTTCAAACCAGGTGGATCAGTTGCTTGTTTTTTGTAGGCTTCCGGATCGCACACTACTGTGCTGAACTTGCATGTTTAATCAAGGTGCCCTGTGGACGAATGAAATGAAATGGAAGCACGAAACATTCATACACAAGTGCAAAGCTCAATGAGTAAGAGAGACAAGGCAAGAAGACAAAAAGTAAAGTTGTCAACCAGATGAGTATTTAGCTTGCTGCTTTACACTGCATGTGAGAAGAAAATCTTTTATTAGAGAGAGAGAGTGAGCACTGTGCGCACTTATGGAATGACACTTGGTGAGTTTACAACCAGTTACTATGCCCAACATCACTCAAAAACTGCAGTAGTACATGAATAGCTCTCTGCACCATTGACAGATGTGGCCATGTCGCAAGAATTTGCATTTAAGTTGGTAAGCGTTCTGCTGAAGCACTGGTGGTTCATGCAGTATGTAAAACGTGTGCTGGATGTTGCATCGAGGGCAAATGCATAACAGATGTGCAAAACAGCTGTGTGTAAGTCACTTTAAACTTCAAAATGGAAAGGGTATGTGTTTGTGAATGCCACACACATTCGTAAGTGGTGGAGTTCTGTTGTACCCTCATGGTGGAGCCTATGGTTGCTACATAGAGGCATAGAGATGATGCACATGAATAGTAAGGTTTGTGTAAAAGTGCCTACAGATATGAGGGATCTCTTAAACCACATTTAATTTATAATTTAAATCACTAGTGCATTTCTTTGCCTCCGCCAATGCAAATATATTTTGAAAAATTGAGCTTTATGTTTCCTGCTCTGAATCTGCTTGTCCACTGTGAAACTGGCCTTATCACCTAATGGTATGTCGTAAGAACACCATTTCATGCAGAAGCATCATCCAAAACTTTTTGCCTCAAATTTTTTTAGGTTGCAGAGCAATATTTCGTACATCAACACTGCTGGGTATGCAGGCTGGGAAAGTGATGAAGAATGCTAGCAAGTGCGAGCTCAATTTCGCAATGTTGCAACCTGTGAGAGGATGTCGATTTGACACGACTGCACAGAAGAAGGCGCACGTTAGCAACTAGATAACTTGTTACGGGACAGCTCAGTTTACACTACCCATTTGTGCATAACACTTGTATTCCTTATTGCATGACTCGTTCGCTCTGTCCAAGACAAAACGTAGCTCGTTACTTAGTACACTTACTTTTTCAGTATCAGGAGGACACACATGGACAGCAGAAAAAGGAACACGATGGCGATGATAGCGGCCACCATGCCTAGAAAAAAAGACAGTTAGGGAGTGAAAATCTTTGCTGGTTTATCTGCCTGCGAAACGTGCGCAACTAATTTGTTGAGCTCTGTTATCTTTTTATTTGTGAATGCGCTATAGAGCTTGCTGTGAATTGTGGTATGCTGCACACCCCTTGGCAACCGAGCTGCTTATCAAGCACTGTACATAGCCACAGAAAGGACCTTAATTGACCACCCCTTTATCTCATAGTTCCTAGACATTAATTAAATATATGAATAATACCACTCATTCTATCTGTGGCCTTCTATACTGTTCACTCAATATGTTTGTTTTCCCCAGGAATTCCTGGCAAAAATGATCTCTCAATTAAAATTAGTAAGAGGAAGGTTTAAATAAGTGTAAACGATCATAATCTCTGTACTAAGAGTGGCAGTTGTGCTCACAGACACTGCATATGACATGTGCAGAAGATGCTTGCCAAGATTTTGTAGCATGTTGTATGTCATTCATGAGGGCATACTTGGGAATGACCTTACTGTACAGACAAATAGCTTTGAATTATGCATTCAGATTTCTTTTGTGACATAATTCACAGAGTTTATTATGTTTATGAACAAAGTGTGAAACCTTGCTAGCATATCACAGCTGTTGTGTTCACCAACTTAAACCAAGCAGGCTAGTTCACAGGAGCTCAAAGCAGTCATCAAAGAGGCTCCTGGCTCCTCGAAATAATTTAGGTTGTCCTGTAATAGAGATTCTCAAAACAAATTTAATCATTATCCACCTAGTCATTCACCATAGTGACTTAAGTGGTAATTATTTGTTAATTAAACTATGTTCCATATGAGGCAGTTGCGAGTACGAAAGAGTAACTGGTTTGCATATCTCAGCAGTACCAGGTTTGTATGTGGCATTCTAGAAAAAGTAAAATTGACCATACGGCATATGGCTATGAAATATTCTCCAGGCCTCATGAAAACATTATTCAACAAGCTAGAAAGATATACACGAAACAGATCTCGCTGGCATCTTTGTGGCATCACCAGGAGTTTAGGGTGACTAAGAAGAACTTGGTAAAAACTCACCAGTGAGTGTTGAACTTGTGTCACTCGACGATCCTGGCAGCTCCTCTTGGAGTTTTTGTCTCATTTGTCCTAAAAAAATAGGGTACATTTCATAATGAGGTATTCATTACAACACATGCACTTGCTGTAAGCTCTTTCGATTTTAGTTGCGGATGTTACTCCTGCCCCAGGAACAACACAAATAGTTTAACCCTTTGCTGCACCATATGTCGGGTTATACTGCCAAGGCAAGCGAGGATTTTATTTTGGGGTTCAATATCACCATATGTGTGTGTGTGTGTGTGTGTGTGTGTGTGTGTGTGTGTGTGTGTGTGTGTGTGTGTGTGTGTGTGTGTGTGTGTTTGCGAGAGTATGATATATATATGCATAAGAACTAAAGCATTTTATGCCAGTGTAGCGGGGAGTTGACAAACTTTTTCCTCCTGCGGATACATATGGCGAGGTGCACAGCTTACTTCATGTTCGTCTTGCGCTAACTTCATTAACTTTATTGCAGACTGAGTTACTTACTCTTATGATGGCCCTTGAGTATTTGCAGTCCATTTACCTTAACCTTTTAAGACAGAGCTTCGAATACTTTGAGCTGCAATGTCTGTTGTGCGAAACTGTGTGTTTATACCTGTGTTCAGCCCCTTTTGCTGAATTGAGGTATTCAGAAGTACAGTTATCCGGGCAAGTTCATACTTTATTCTTGAGCCACGTAGTGCGAAGAGAACATGAAAAGAAATGAGGCAGACCTACTGCTTCTGTCTTCAGTCGAGCTTTTAGGCCTCTAATTCAGTGTGCATGTTGTGCACATGTAGCTGCAGAGAGAATGTAGTTGCTATAGTCTCTTTTGTAAATGCAGCTACCAGTCCTCTCACACAAGATACACAGCAGTGCGATTGTGAGGCTTTACAGTGCTGCACTTGGTTTTCGGCGATCCTAACTTTTCTACTCGAATCAATAATATCTATTTGCATTTGTATTGTTTAACCCACGTGTTATATTTAAAACTCTTTGTCTCACAAGTGCATAATCGGCAGAGTTTAATACAATATACTACGCTAGCCAAGAGGCAAAAAATATGAGCATATTTCTCAAAGCAATGCTGTATTTGTGAACCTTTACTGGCTGTGGATTCTAGCTGGTGTTTTGTTTTGTTCAATAGTCTTGTTCGGTATTTAGTATATGAACAAAACGTTTACCGTTGTGACTTTCAGGCCAATTGGAAGTGTGGGTGCTGAATTTGTTAACACAACTTTGTTTTCAGGCAGAAGCTTAAGGAAAATAGCGAACTTAATCCATTTACAACAAGCTGCCCCAAGTAGCAACAATGCTGTGAACAAGAAGAGATGACATATAAACACCTCAGAAACAAGTGTGCCAACCATGCCAGCCATCACCGGCATCTTTCGACTCGTGCCACTCCCGGACAGTTCCCTAGAATCAGTACCTATGAACCCGGCAGCGAACAGTGTTATCAGGTGGTGTACAAAGTAGTGCTCTTGTGAAAGGCGGAGAGGTGTAGTATTCAGAGAAGAAGGGAAGTAGGGACGGGAAAGTGTGCGATGGGCTTCAGCCATGGGTGCGCTTGACGTCATTATTGTTGGTGCACAGCTCCCGACATGCTGGCATGCAGTGCCACACACCTAAAATCCCCCCAAAATACAGCTAACTTTTCAAATATATTTGAAATTAACTCTGTCAGAACAGTCATATCCTCGAAGTAGAGTTTCTGCGCTTTAATACTTTTTCAACAGCAAAGCTGTCGAGCCTTTCACGTTCGAGCACCATTGTAGATTGTAGTGGGATTTAGATCCTGCTATGGATATGTGCCACTCTTTCCACCACTCCTCCTATGCATTACTCCCGCAACTCACTACTACTGCTTCCACCACTCCTCAAACTTCATTCACCGACTTCATTCAACCCCACTGCATGCCACGAGCTTCTCTGTTTCATCAGCATCTGCCAAGCATAGCTGGCTAAACTTCTTCGAATTTAGGTTCATTATTCCTTGAAACCATATGTAAATTCACCAGTGAAAACATGTTTCTGCGTGGTAAATGAGATTTTAATAAAGCTAACTAGAGGGAACCCTGGTGATGCATCATTCAGTGACCACGGGAATGACAGGTAGTACACCGATTTGCCTAGTCGTCGTGCTTGTGGGCCTCGAACGCACTTGTGGCTTCATTTGTTGCTGCATATTTGTCTTGTTTGGAATGAAAGAACCGACCTTTATAAACTTTGTGCGCCGATTTGAAATGGTGAGCCAAAAGGTTAAGGTGGTGAAGTGTAATTGCTGAACATTTCCCGATTGTCGTTTCGTGACCAAGCAGCTCCAAGCCACGCGAAGATAAATGGAACCGAAAGTACGAAGACCACACCAATTCGTGTACTACTCATCATTCCCATGCTCGTTGAGGCGCCGTGCATTGCAGCTCCCATAGACACTAGCGCCAGTGTTCGCTCTAGTGTACTTATAGGAAACTGTGGTTCTTATAACTCACTGAGGATGCACGATGCCTGAGGCTCGCTCCACGTTCCATCCTCTTGGCAGACGATGGTCGTGGGGCCACCCTGCCGTTCGTATCCCAGGTGGCAGTTGAGCTCGGCCAGGTCCCCGTAATTTGTGGACACGTTGAGCAGCGTGTACGTCCCACCTTCGACTTCAAACGATGGCACGTCACAGGTGACAGCTGCGAGAGAAAATTGTTGATGGTATTCAGCTTCTGACACTACATTATACTCTGTTATCACTGTTACAGATACTGGTAAACAGGATTTGGAAGTCAGACATGTCACTCCTTATCTCTACTTGTAGATATTTTCAATGTCATCACAATCGAAGAGGGATAAAAACATTCGCAAAAAAAAGTAAATGGGATGGGCAGATTGATATTGCTAATCACGATGTACAATACAAGTTGTCTATGCTGCGATAAGTGAAGTTTACGAATGTTGTGAAAGTAGTGATGCAGCGGGAGCATTGATGCGTGGATATGTTCTGAAGGCATTACTTACTAACACTTTTTAAAAGAAGACTTTATTTTAAATGCAAAATGTTTTCTAAGAATGGTATAGGATACTCTTAACCCTTTTAGACGCTATGTACACACTTCGGTAAACCACTCGTTTTCGTTACTTGCATCGAGTAGAGGCTAAGAAGGAGCAAGATATATTACGTTAGATGAATTGAACCTACTGCATGATTAATTTGTCTTCATTTAACCTCATTTTGCAGTGTGCTGATACATATGATCACTTTTGGGAAGGCACTACCACGTTTGGCGAGTGGTGCGACGTGCCGCTTCCTGCAAGCAATGTGAAAAGCAGAAATTTTCCTTGCTCACATCTGCCATAACCAAAAATAAATTTTCACTATATTTCTAGCCTGAGAGTAGATTCTATTTATGTTAAAAGTAAGCATCAATGACTTGAGAATAGATAGATATTTCATTGCAACTTGATTAAAACACACAGATTCAGCAATTATGTCGTTATTTTTGTTACAATAGAATATCGAGTGCCTTGAAGTAACATAGTTGTGACTTGACACATTTACGGACAGTTCTTAATAATTGGCCTCTGAAAGGGTTAAGGGGGGAAGAGGGTTTTAAATTTTTTTTTTATATTTCTTGACCAAATTCAATGAAAATTGTAACCCAGACAGAGTTTTTCAAGCTGATTTCAAAAATATAATTGCTTTTGAAATTGGTTGGCCAGTTGCAGAGATAATTAAAATTAATCCTATATTGTTTATCAGAACAATGGAAAGGCAATTATTGGCCAGAATATTAATATTGACATATGGCTAGATACTATGAAGTGTAATTAACACAAATGTAGGATTACTTTTTTAATATTACAAGTATTACCAATTTTATAGCAATTTGAAGTTTAATCTCCAGATATCTCTATCAAGCGATTAAATTAGTACCAAGAATAAAAATTTAGAAAGACTAGATTGAAAAATCTGTTCCTACATTTGTGTAGGAGACATATGTAGCTACATGCCACCACAAGAATTGTGGCTCTATGTGACCTCAAGACCAAGATATCGCTTTGGCAAGTTTCAAAAACATCGAAAATGACATTCTGAGAAAACGTCAAAAAACAAAATAGGCTCATATTTAATACAGAAAATCACAAACTATTTACAATGTTCACAAATGGCCTAGCATCAGTACCCTCCAGGAACATAGTCTGTCTGTTTAGAGTCATTTCGGTGTTGTTTTCGTAGCACACGCTGCAAGTTTTCTGCAGAAGCATGCTTGCGTGCGCATGCTTCAGCACGGTGGCGATCTTTTTCACTCATGCGCTTGGTCAACTGTTGGCCAGGGTTTAGCTGAAGTTCTTGAAGTATGGCTGTAGAAGCTTTTTCATACCCAGAATTGAACTTCATTACAGCCTCTGCCACAGCAGCTTGCACAGCAAACAATGATGCATGTTTCTCCTTCGGCGCCAGTGCCCAAATAATTGAGTGGAGACACTCGTTGTTATTTTGGGTCTTCCCTCTTAGGCATCGCCGAAGAAGCGATTCATCAGACAAACGTCTGTAAACTGGAAGAAGCGCCTCACATACATGGGGTGGCAGATTGTGGCGGTGTTTTGGAGCAGGCTCACCTTTGGCCTTTGCTGCGTTTTGGCGGCACCATGAATCTGGGCCCTCTGGACAGAGAGTGTGGTTAGAAGTGACATCGTTTGAGGTGATGTGGTAGTATGTGGCCATGACTGCTTTATGCATGGCCTTGACATCACCTTTGTGCGATTTCAAGGCCCAGCCATAGTAGCTGCTGAGCTTGGTGATAAGCTCACCAGTCAGCTTTCCTTTCCCACCGAGACTCTCTGTACCAGAGGACTTCTGCTTGGAAACTAGATTTCGCAGTGCTGTGCCCATTCTCTTGTGAATGTGGTTAACACAATCTTCCTTGTCCACGGGTATGTATCCATAGACTTTCGCATCTTGAAGAGCAAGGTAAGCGCGGCTGTCACCATCCGACAACAAGGTCGTGTACCGCAGCTTATGCTTCTGCAGCGATCTTTGGAAGAGGATCAGTGCCGCTTCCACCTCCATCTCCCCAGCTTTTTTGTCCGTGTTTTTCTGGCATGCGTGTGCCTCCTTCCAAGCCTGGTAGGCAGGGTCAACTTCTTTTGGTGCCCGTGCGCACCCAGCACAGAAATTGCTGAGCACTACATAATCGAGCACAAATCCTGTGTAGAGCTCAATTACGGTGCCGACGCCGATATGAGACGAGTGGCCGCGCGTCATCCATGTGCCATCGAACGATATAGCGATGTTGTCCGGGCTGTTTATATTTAGGTCACGGTACAAATCGCGCACTAATTGTGCACATGTCCCCATCAACTTTTCTGCCCCATCGGTTGCCGCGGGGACGAGTTTCGTTTTCAAGTGTCCCTGCCATGTTTTATTGTGCATTCCTCTCTCCGAAATGTTCATCGCCGCAAAAATGTCGTTCATTGCGGTTTGCCCGTTTCCGGTGCTCTGCATTGCACGCTCCGCAAGGATGTTTATGACAAAAGGCCTGAGCTTTGCTTTGCCGCTCACGCGCGGCGAGCTCCATCCCTGCACATTATCGCCGCAGATCGCACATTCGGCAACAAACTTCACAGCAAGGCCAAAATCCCGCTCACCTTTTCGCACCGTGAGGTTACCACCACAAATTGTACACTTGCAACTGGTAGACGCCAGCAGCGCGTTCATCGAGTCGTAACTAGCGATGAAAAAACTTGTAGCGAGATCGTTGCTAGCTTGTGTGGCAGCGTCATCACGATCCAAAAAGTCAGATTTTCGGGCAGTAGCAGGAGTTGAAGCAAGTACATTAAGTTTTTCTTGAGCTTCACTCTCTATACGCCGCAAATCTTCTGGCTGCAACATTGCAGTGTCGTGCCGAAACGACGACGAAGACCCGCGGCGGTTGTCAAGAGCGCTTTGGGGGACTAGGCCTAACACGCCCGCATCGGCGCCGCTCGACTCGGGAAGCACGCCGTTCTCCGCATGGTCAGGAACTGGTGGTGGCACAGCAGCGCATTTCTGGAAGTTGTACGGAGTCTTCCTCTTCCTTTTTGTTCCGAATTTGTACTTCGTAGCGAACTTCGGCGACGGCGTCGACATCGTTGCTCACGTGCGAAAACCAGTTGACGCGTACGGTGTGCGCACAGTCGCCGCGGAGTGATGCAGACGATGCCTGTCAGGCCAATGGCGTGACCCGCTGCGGGTCACGTGCCGTAACTGGCCAATTACTGCGCGTGTTGGGACTTCTTTTTGAATCGGGATATCTTCACAGCCAACGCGCGCTCGGAGCCGAAAATGGCGCGAAAATCAAGACGAGAGGCTGCGCTTTCAAACGATATATGATTCGCGGCTGTCGGACAAATATGACGGCCGTCGCGTGTCACGGAAAAGGCGCTTTATTTACCAAATTCTTGGCTCATATTTAGCTGGCACTGGTGCTAAAATTGATATTACGGCTAAGATATCGTTTCAAACTGCATAAAACTTGGCGAAATGGTAGAATATTGGATGAAAATAGCAAAACTGCCATTTCCAAAAAATCAACTTTTTGACGATTTTTCGGCTTTTAAAACCCGTGTCCCCCCTTAAGGTTCTGTTGCTTTTCCTAGGAGAGCGAAAATCACCAAGAAACCACAAGAAAACACTCGTACAACAAAGCGTTTGACACGTTTAGGAAAGTATGTTTACAATAATGCTGATTAATGTTAGCCTCTGATGTATAACATATATATTTATACTCTTTGATCAAAATAACAAAGGCACTATTGTGTCCCATGTAAGAAGTATTTTTTGAACAACAGAAGCAGTAAACTTGCTGCTGAGAAATGTTCATCACGCTATCTACACGTATTGTTGTTAGAAATGGGCACTTGTGCAAGCGTGCTCCTGGAGTTCCAGAACACGTAAGCATTACCTTGCATGTCTGCCCTCGACTTCATGACACATCATTTTATGTTGGATAACAGATAAACCTATGTGTGCACGAACACAAAATTCAGTCTTTTCGCTGAAGGTGATACAATTGGCAGTGGATTACTGAAAAAAATGAGACACAATCTAGTAAAACCACATAAAGGCCTTAATCAGGGATTTAAGGTTAATCATAAAACACCTTGGTTATCGAAAATGCACCTAAATATGAGTACATGGTCATTGTGGCATTCTACTCCCATAGAAATACCGCCACCATGGCTGGGAATCGACTGCAACACATCGACTTCAACGGGAAACTAACATAGTCGTTGAACTACCAAAATTAGTTTACGTACTTTTGAACATTAAATGAGGTTGGTTTGGAGAAAATGTTGTGGAAGAGAATTGTAGAGGTTGCTAGATTGACTGATGTATGAATGATAGCATAATGAACAAAAGAAAGTAACATTGAACATTACGCTGCTACAGACCAACTAAATATGCCCTGTGTAGAGAGGGGTGTATACTGACGCTGGCAGTGTGGCTGCTGTCCTCCCCAGCGGGCGTCTTCGAGGCAAGTGCGGGTGTCGTTGCCCTCCAGGGTGTAGCCAGGGTCGCAGGTGTAGATGAGCTGGCTGCCCTGCACAGTGCGGCCGTTGCTGGTGCCTCGCACCGCCACTTTCCCATTGTCGAGGGGACCCAGGGAGGGGCATGCGGCCTCTGCGTAGGACATAGAGCAAGTACAACAAGGCTTTTATCTCTTTAGATGCCATCCATGAAGAACTGTTTGTAAATGTGTCGTATTGATACTTTGTATCAAAGCATTCAGTATCGTATGGGTACAAAAATAATGACATTATACTTTAATTTATTCCTGTTATAGTAATTACTTCTAATTAAATTGTCATTAAATATGTGTTTATTTTTAAGTCATCCATGCTATGTGTTTGCATCAAGAGTATGAAATTTCAGTCTAGAAATCGAGCACAAATTTGTTTTCAGTTATGCTGATTTCGAGCAGAGAAAAACTACTTTTGAGCTGGCTTGTGGTAAGTGGTATGTCCATCAAATGACTTGTTCAACACAGTAGTGCTTTGACCAATGTGGTTGTATGCAACAGTGCACTGCAAGGTGAAGTTAAATGAAGACAAATTTACTATGCAAGGGGCTCATTTCATCGTAAGCTCAGTGTCGTTTCCTCTTTCTTAGCTCCTAGTCGATACAAGCAGCGAAATGAAGCTGTGTAAACAATTGTGTACATGGCATCTGAAAGTGTCAAGCGCACGACAGCACTTGCATCTGAGGGAGTAACCGCACAGTTTGTGTTCTGGTGTGTACCAATCTTCTACACAGCATCTACATGGGAAGACAAGACAGAAAATGCATGCATACAAAGTATCAAGCAAACACATGAGAATATAAAACTGTTAGGGATTTTGATACTTTCATAACTGCTGGCCACTGAACTAAGCAGGATGTGCGTGCAGTTCTAATAGGTTTTCACTGCTTTATCATCATTCCTTTATTAATGCTCAGTGGCTACCTTGTCACATGCATTGCATGGAGTACTTTAAAATGTAATGATGGCATGTAACAGTTGGAATAGAACAAGAGATGTAGTCAACAAAAGCAGTGTGTGTTGTTTTGTATGCGTTTCTTCATCTCGTGTTTTACTTTCATAAAGGACCAAAAGTCTTTGTATGTAAAAATTGAATTTATGAGTTTAGGTACACTGAGTTACATGATATGTTTAAAACTTATTACGTTGCGGTTTGATAGAAAAGAAGGTTACGCTTTATACATCTGGCATATAGTGAATTCATGTCCTCTGAACTTCAGGTTGTACTGTGAGACCAGCTTTTAGGGGCGAAGCTATTAAAGTCGTGGGTGTGTCGTTCCTCTGTGACCGGTTCGTAACCATGTTTGCAAACCGCTCACTACGTCTTTGCAAATGTCCCACTACGCCCCATCACCAATCCACCAGTTCACTGACCATAAAACACCTTTGCAAACAAGAACAAAATAAAAGTTGATTTGTGTAATATACGCACAGCCTTACGTCTTCCTAATTATGTAAGGGGCTTACATTCACAAGAGAGTTACCGTTTACTGATGACCCCCTTCTCGAGCTTCACCCACTTATCATCATTCATTCCTTGCATATGGCGTGATTTTTTTTCTATCTGCATGCCTAAAGAACGTATGCCAGCTCGCCCTTACCAAGGCACCTTGGGGCTGCCGCTGACCACTGTCCAGACTCCAGGCATGTACGCACGCTTGGACCGGACAGTTTGTATCCAGACACGCAGCGGTACTCCATCTGTTGCGGTGACAGTGGTACCGTGTACGACTTGGGTGGTTTGTCTGGATCTCCGCACTGGTACTTTTCTGCAAAAAAAATGTGGACACAATTGTCTATGCACGCCTCTGGTTTATTTGTTTAAAGCGAAGCTGGTTACTTATGGGCTCCGTATGTATCCCCCGCGTGCGTTTCGAGGGGAGGGGGGTAGTCTAGGCGGATTTCGTTCATATCAGGGACATAGTGCGTAGACACCAAGAAGAGAGATGGGGGTGGGTAGATGTGTTGCTAAAGCAATAGAGACTGGTAGGAGAGTAGGGCAAAGAGGAGTGTGCTACACGTGTCGGAGGCACCAACATGGCTGCAGCAGTGGTTTCAGCATATGCATGAAGGTGTGTGCTGGCTGTAAGGAATCTTGTGGCGGCGAAGTGTGGTGGCACTGCTGCTGTACTGACGTGACACAATGCAGTGTATTACGCGGGTCATAAATCAGTGGTCACCATTGTTTGAAATCAAGTAAGTATGCATAATTATAAGCATCTTTGCAAGTGTTAGATATGCAGAATGATGTACGACTCCATAATGTATGCAACCTAAGGAGCTTCTCTAGTAATCTGTCCTCGTGTAAATTTTGCTGCCCCACGTGTCTTTTATTTGCATTCGAGCCGTAGGTGCACACCTTTTCACATTTGCTAACTTCTGAATTGTTGCCTTACATGGTGGTATGAGTACTACGATGTTTTTTTTTACCACCTAGAAGCAAAACATTTCCGGCCAGCTGTCAGTTCAGAAGGCGTGTGGTGGTGCTGGAAATGGGTGCTAAATAGGTTAAACAGAGAAAGGAAACCTTTCTCACAGCCGTTGAGCACCCTCAAAGGTATTAAAACAATCCCTTTTTTTACACTTGATTATGTGCACTGCATACATATGTTTACATGGTTTTATAAAGAGGAGATGAAAAAATTGTACGACACCTTATAAATTCGAAAGCGTGTTTGCCGAAAGCCTGCGGCCATTTGACTGACTATCCCATGTCCGTTTTTTTACGTTTATGTGTGTTTTATTTTTCCACCTTTTTGTTTTTTAAGCACTATCGGCATTCACATGATTCATGAAAGAGTGCGAGGGAAAGAGGCCACAGCTGGCACCATTACAGGGCACGGACAGACGGATGTGAGCATGAGACATTAAAGGCTTTCGCCTTAATATTGAGGTTGACAATGCAGTCAATTGATGCAGTTATGTAGAGTACAGACAGGTGGCAAACAGCTGTAACAGAGAAAATAAAGCACAGTAGATACCCTTTGGACACCTTCAGAGTTGCTCAAATGTCTTCTTTTTACCGCCATGCGCATTGTGAGTGAGCATCTTGGATATTAGAAACTATTAAATCTGCTCTTAAATTACTGTTAAGTAACTAAAAAAATTGGGCAAGCTACATGCTAGTGGTGCAGAGACAAAGAGTGGCAGGGCTGGTTGCAATGCCCACCAACTGTGCCATCCTTCATCCGTTCACATCCTCGTTTCCCTCCTACTCACTTCTCCTTCCCACACCTTGCTGTTCTTTACTATTGCTTTATGTTACCCACTCACTTCATCATGTTCCTCCTCACCCTCACTCATATTTTCCATCCCTCGCTTTACTGCACTATATGTGGCTATTGTTGCTGCCTTTATTTTTTCTCTCTCTCTATGGTGCAATTGTGCATGCTTTTTGTATCTGAACTTTATCTCGCTGTCCATAGATTTATTTCTCTGCTTCTATCTTTTTTCTTTTCTTTTTATCTCCTTCCTTATCTCTTTCTCTTTTCACTTATTACATTGCCTTTGTATTCCTTTCTTTCTTATTTACTTTTTCTCTCTCTCGCTTTTTTCATTCTTTCGTTTCCTATTGTCACAAAGACAAATCGGCGCTCATATTCTGGGAACAAAGCAGAAGATGAAAAGAGCACAAAGAGGATGCGTGCTTGTAAATGATGACGATGGCTTTCGAATTCAACACACAATAATTACACCCGGCTCACAGAGCTAATATACAGACTTTAGAGGAAGAGCTGGGGCGGAAAAGCCATAACCACCAAAGCACTGACATCTTGGAACGTGGTCATTGTAGCCATTAGAATACCTTAAAACAACTCTAAATATATCTTAAATTATCGTTATAAAGGGGTGGAAATTGTATTTATATAAACTATTTTTAGGAAAGGTACAATGGCCATTCTTGTAGATCAAGGGGCTTTACACTGCGCATGTGGCAGCTCTCTCTTTTCTTGTGAACACGAGGAGAGGGGCAGAGTTGGCATGTGCAGTGGGGAGAGGATAGTCGCCGAGAGCGCTCTCACATGAGCGTGAGGAAGTGGGGTAAAGGTGGTGGCAGAGCGTGCCTCCACTTCGTTTCTCCTCTCCCGTTTATCTCTTCGCCACAGTTGCACTCTCTTAGCTACATCAGCGGCGCACAGCACATACACAACTTCACACGCAAATGAAACATACACGGATACATACAAATGGAAGCAAAAGTGAACGCCATCGCTGCTTCGTATTTCCACACGGTTCTCATAAGTGGGAGGTGTAATTCATTATATGCGAAGCAGCTTATGGTAGAGCTCAATCCGGTGTGTGATCTTCCTTACTGCGCATGTGCAACAGCTGACCCAATTGACTACTGCTAGAACACACATGCTAGCGCGTTCGGGCCAGTGTAAGGGGCTCGGTAAGACGCTGTGGCCTCTTCCCTCGGCAATCATGTGATGGCGTCGGGCAACGAGATTTAGAAGACTCGCGATAACCCAACGCGTTGTAGCGCTGGCACGTGCTAGCGCGTTCGAACCTGCATAAGTGGCTGTGTAAGAGGCTGTGGCCTCTCCCCCTTACACTCTCTCAGCAATCACCTGATGTCGTCGGGTAATAATATTCTGCAGACAGTCTATGAACGCACGTGCTACCGCGTGGCGTGGCGGTGAACCCGCGTGGCGTGCTCCAACATGAGTTTAGGGCGAGTAACGGCAACAGAAACTACAGTGAATAAATGATGTGCTCCACTTGCAAAGACGCTTTAACGTCGCGCGAGATGCCTAAGATGAACGGAAGCTGCCCCATGCGCTTCTTCGCACGCTAATCACGGTTCCCTTTGTGGGAGATGGTGTAACTTTTCGTTGCGATGAGCCAACGGCTCTTACTGCGATGCTACAGAGGTCTATGAAACAGAAAAGAAATGCACAGCATATTCACGGAGTGAATGATGAGTTGGGCGAAGCGTCCGTGCGTCTTTCTGTCCGTCCGTGCGTCTTTCTGTCCGTCCGTCCGTTGCTATCACACTAGAGCACGCATCAAACGGACGGACTCTTTGCCCCACTCATCTTCATTCACTCCGTGGATGTTCTGCGAGTTTCTTATAACAGCGTCATCTATCCTATTTAATCGTGAACGATATGAAAACCACTAACGCCATCAAGCGATATTATATTCAAGGACGTATACACACCACATCATCTAGTCAGCAATTCTTAAAGCTAGCTAGAAGTGGCTACTTCAACATACTACAAGAAAACAACCCACACCCTAAGGAGCTTCGCCCCTAAAAAAATTACACCATTTCCCGCTAAAGGTAACCATGTGTAGATGCGAAGCAGCGGGCGTTCCCTGCAACCCTTCTTAAGCATGGTCAGAAAACACCACCGATTGGCAGTAGAGGCTCCGGAGAACACGCGAGGCAAAACGCAGCACGCTGCCTGGAATTCACAATAAATTATCAAATTCAGCTAAAAATTGTTTTCTCTTCCCTCGACAAATGACGGAAGACACCCAGAAATTAGTCGTAGAATGCCCATCTATCAGCCATTTGGCGATTTGAACACTGCGCACTCGGTCGTTACAGAAATTGCCGCGAGAGGCCGCTACTCGTCCACGCGTGCGCGCGCGATGACGTTGCAAAAGTTGCGTATTCGAAGAAAGAAAAGTGCTCAAGGTCATGAGGAGCGCGTGACGTTTTTTGTTTGCCCCTCCCATCCCTCCCTGCTTAGCTTCCAGCGCTTTAGTCGGGACGAGAGAAGAGAGAATGCGATTGCAGCGTGCGACAAATCTTTCTAACTCTGCTCGTACTGGACGGTTTCTTAAAATTTTTGCGGCACTGAATTTGTGAGGCAATAACCTCTTCGGGTGAATTAATTTCATGGTTACTTAAAAAATTGTTTCGGGGCATCTTTAAGGCCTGACCCCATTTATCCGTTGCAGCGTGTGGCTTTTTGATGCGGCGTCGTGCTCTCTCTCTCCATGAAGAGAAAGGGCACGTGGCTACGCGAAGCTGCTCGCTCTCTTTCTCCATATAGAAGATGGCTCGGCGCCGCGTCAAAAAGATTCGCTCTGCAATAGCTACGTGGAGTCAGGCCTTTACACTGGCCGCGGAAATCGAGCCTTAATTCACGTTCTCAGTAGCGCACAGTTGTCGCAGGCTACAGCAACAGTCACGCGTTTGTGGTGACCGCACCGCGAACGAGCCAGGTGATGAAGAAACAGCAGTTATCCTCTCCGAACTGGTTCTCCCTTCGCTTACTCATCGCTACGCCGGGAAGGAAATGGCGAGGGCAGAAATGAACAAAGAAGTTGAGTTGAGATTGCCGCCGTCAGGTTGCCTTTCTTTGCCGCTCGCTTCCCCATGCCACGCCTGGCGCATGGCTACAGTGGCCTAGAATAATACGCATGGCTGCCAACACTCTCTCTTCTTCCTTCTCTTTTGTCGTCACCCGTCTCTTCCACCCCCCCCCCCCCCCCAAAAAACCCATGCCTTTCAATCCCCTCTAATTCTTCCCCTACCTTTTCCCCCCTTCTCCCTGAAGTGTTGCGGTTGTGGTGTTCTCGTCTGAAAGACAGTTGCTGCTTCACTTGACCCCACCCTTCACGCTCGTTCAAGAATCTCTTCTCTCTTCCCCACGTAGTAAATTATTAGTTGGGTAGACGAAGAGAGAACCCCGTTAGGAAAGAAATGCCGCGTTTTCGCCTGGCCTGTTCGCCGCCAACGTGCGTTCATTTCCAGAAAACAAGAAATTAGGGCTAGAACTAACAAGTTGCCTAATTAACACCGACAAAATATCATATTGCCATATCATAAACGACTGATCGCCAACTAGTGAGAGAGCAGTAATTATGAAAAAAAAAAACGGCGCATAATTATATGCACGTGGCCGGCGCAAAATACGGGGCCGCATTTCTTTGCATTCTCGAGTAGCGAACATTTTAATTGTTCAGATAGATATAAACTTTCGTGGGTGGCCTGGACCGGGACAGCCTCCCATAGTAGAGTGCGTGTAGTGTTCTAAAACGTTCACAATTTTCATTGAACACATAATTTATGCTCTGTACATAGTATAAATAATTTTTTTAAGGCAGTGCAGTTTCTTTCAGGCTGGTGTTATAGGGAGAGTTTATTGCTCTCCCATAGTTGAGTACATAGTGCTCAGGATTGTCAACCAGTTGTACTAAACAGTTTCTGCATATGCTAACTCTACCTTGACGACTGGTTGCCCCCACGTGGTTTAAATCAATCGCAATGTAATTTTGAGCGGGAAATGAAAAAAAAAACTGTCAGTTAGGATATATTTGTAATGGCAGAATTCATAGAAACCGATTAAGCGTTCGGTTGAAGCTCGCGATGTGTCAATAGTCCCATGTCCCGATCGAGCTACTGCAGTTCAATTGAAGCCCGATTCATTATAGCTCCTTTACGGGTAAAATACGCTCACTGAATTCTACTGGAATCCGCGCACGCATTTCGCATCATTACCGTAACGTGCTGTGACAATAACCGAAATCTTCCGCTGTTTTAACGCTGCTCACCTCTGAGCACATAGATCTCCACCTCGCAGAGACTGAAGTGGTCGGGATCCTTGCGCTTGTCGGCGACGTCGACGTACTGGCCGATGATGCCTTTGCCTTCGTCGCACATCAGCACCACAGTCTGGGTTGCTGTGCATAGCGGACAACACGCAGACATGTCATACGGCGCTCCTCAACAAATGCGATACATTCAGCCTAAATTGACGTTGGCATTATCTATTGATTTACGAATTCCCTTCAATACCGCAACGGCGATAGCTACTTGCGCTGGGAGGTGCTTGAGTTATGAGAAAAATTTTGATTCAGTTGACCAGGAATTTTCTCAGGAAAGACTCCTTCGGCTCGTTCTTGAGACTCCTGACTTGCCACTTATATGGCTCTCATTGAAGAGGCACGTCAACTCTCCTGCGGGAGTCATTGTACTCTCTTCTGAGAGTCCTGCGACCCACGAGAGGTTTAGCGTGCTTCTTTCGGGTCAGGACTACCGGGATGGTGTGACACATACTCTATCTTTTTAGAGTCGATAAACGAGATCATAAAATATTTATTCAAACGCAGATATCGGGGTCCTGTGGAATGCACATGAAGCGCCTCTTACACAGTTAAGATACCGGGTTATGTTTGCGTGGCTCAGTAACACAGGTATTAATTTGTTAACTGTGTAAGCGCAGTTCCTAAGAATGACAAAATTCAACTAGATATACACGCTTTTTGAATACAGTGGTTGTTTTAACTTGCTCTTTTGAATACGTAATCAACATAATAGGGATGTGTGCTGTAGTTGTCGAGAAACGCGATTTCTCTCCATGGTGTGCACGAGCTTCAGGTGGCGGGCAGAGGACACTCACAGAATTTTCCGCTGAATGCGGCGCATCTGTTGAATATGGCCTTGTTGCCCTCGTAGCTCACGACCCGCACCTCGAGGTCCTGCCGTGAACCTGCACCCACGGTGAATGGTAAAGATGTCATGTGTGCTCAGAAGAGTTTCGGTCGCCGTGAAAACTTGCGGCAAACAGTCATGTCAAAGAAGTTTCAAATGTTTGAAACGACCATTGTAATAACGTAGTTGAAACAAGCTCTCACTTTTCGAGATAACGTAACCTTTCACAATGTATTTGTTCGTACAATATTTCGCCCGTAACGCTGCAGTAGCCTGTTTTCATCTACATTAAGCCAGGCGTCCTTTAGGAAAATTTTCAATTTTGCATGGATAAACACACAAACACAAGCACACCATGTATAAGGGGTAGAATTGACCACTCCCACCCCGCCTCCCCCGCTAAAAAAAAAAAGCAAAAAAACTGTGGCGACACCAATGTGTGTGTGTGTGTGGGGGGGGGGGGGGGGTATTGAACTACACCGAAGGACCTAACTTCCAGCAAAAACACCCATATCTGTGACGCACATGGCTTGGGAACCAGCGTGTGATGGGTCCAACGAAAATGAAAACACAGGTTTGCACTAAAACTTCGGTAATGCGAACCTCGCGGAGTCATACAAAAAATGTTCGTATCATTCGAAATGTATATCAGCGGGAAACACGTAAACTTTTTATGCGACAAAATTAAGTTGGCGTACGTTGTAATTTATTGCTTCTCGCGGCCACAGCGACGTCGTAAACAGCTCAGAAATTTTTATACGTGAACGATTGTACTTGCAAATATATACGGCGCGGTTGCAATTAATACACCAGATACATTGTGAGACGTCACTCCTATAGTCGCCTCTTCCCAGTCTTACTATATATACCATTTTCTGCATGACGCTGGAGTATACTACACATAAAAAAAAATACCTAAGCGGATTAGACGCGATAGATGAATGTCAAAAAAATTTGAGAACCGCTGTCGTTTGTGTCTGTTATTTTCTTATCGCCAAGGCGTCGGGAGTGCTTTTCGGGAGATGAACGGCCGCGCCCGCACAATCGGGAGATTTGCTCGGAATTCGAGAGTCTCTCGTGGGAATCGAAGAGTTGACAGGTGTGCAAGTGCAGGGGGTGTCAGAAGTTCCCGGGCCAAGCTCCCATGTATTCATATGGGTGCCCCCCTCCCCGAGTACGTTTAGCTTCTTCACTAAGACCCGCCCGCTCCACCTATTGGTGACCTCGTGGCGACCTTTGATATAGGGTCCGTTCGATTCGCCTGCACCACGTGAACCAGTTCACGAGGTGCTGCACCTTGCCATTCGTTTCAGCGGTGTAGCAATGACGGCCTCTGAACCAACGTTACTAGAACCAGGTCGTTGCTCTGAACCCAGCCATTCGTTTCGAAAGGTACAGAAGAGGTGTAGCACTCGTTCACGGTTTTCTTGCACCTCCATCGCTGACGGCGCCGGCTTGGTGCAGCCGCTCGTGCAGCTGAGCAGACGACGCAGCACTTAGGCGTAGGCGCCGTACCCGGTGTGCTTTGCCAAGATGTTTGCGCCGCATAAACTGTCCACATGTGTGATTTACCATCGTTCAGTGTTAGCTGAACGATGTAAATTAAGCGAAAAGAAATAAGGCCTGCATTTTGTCGGCACATCGTCATTCGTTTCGGGTGTCGTGCTGTGCCTGCACCGCTGAACTCACGCTGCACAATTTCTGAACTTCACGTGCACAGCCATGAACCGGTTCTGACTGGTGAAGGTGAATCGAACGGACCTATAGACTTTGTGATGAACACGCAGCCCGAGTTCCAGTCTTGTTTTACAGGGCGTTTTATTGCGGGGTGATGTTTTGCATCGACGTACTTACGTGGCAGGCACGTGTTAACACAATACAACAACGCTGCTGAAAAGCAAGGGTGACGCCAGCGCCATCTGTAATTTAAACGTGAAGGCGCTTTCATGCCTCCAAGATTTACTCACCCAATCATGGTCGCGCAGCGCGCATTCCCGTGCCTGACTTCCGCGTATTCTGCCACAGTTCGAGTAGCAGCTGTGTGTACCTGTGCGCTAGCGTATACGTTAGTGTGAAACATAGTGTAGTGAAAATCGCTTCGTAACTACCGTACTTCAATACACTGCAGACTGGCGAGCCTTGACCGGGGACAACAGAAACATTCGTATCACCCCAAAATTTGAACAAGCCGTGATCGTATCACCGGGATTTTACGGTAGTAAATGACACAGCCGAGTTAAACTAGACTGCAAAGATCACCCCTAGGCGCTTGCCTACTTAGATTACTTTGCTTGTACAAAAAAAAAAAAAAACAGTCCTCAGAAAATCTGCCAATTTCTGCAGCTAATTGCGAGGCAGCTGCCTCAATAAAATGCAGAAACAGACATTTGCTTAGTGCCAAGCAAGCAACACATTCACAAGAAGGTTAGGTATCACACTATAAACCTATATGAGAAAACGGCCTGATATCTTATGGAACTGCCTCATACCTCTCGGCATGGGCGTAGCCAAGGTGGGTTGGGGGGGGGGGGGGTCACAATTCTTCGAATTTTTTAAACATTTTGCTTGCGTATATTATACAGGCACACATACAAACGGACGAATAAACATATACAATATGAATGACCCCCTTCCCCCGCTGAAAAAAAAAAAAGTTTCTGGCTACGTTTCTGCTTCAACGAAAGTTTGACACCCAAAGCTGATTTCATACACGTCCAAAATTGAAGGGGGTGAAAGACAGAGACAGTAAGGACAGACCCCTTTTCTGGATGCACGCCGTAAGTGCAACAAAACTTCGGCACCGAGAATATTTTATCACGCGTTGCTATGGCAACCGGCGCTCTGGGGAAACCATGACGGCGCTTTTCTTTGCCCGCCACTGACCTACCGCTCGGCGCAGTCATCTTTCGGATTTCCGACGTAGTGCGCCAGTTGCTATGGCAACGCGAGATAAGACCTAATGTCCTGAAATTTCGTCGTACTGCCGATAGATATTCGCTTCTGTCATCGGGCGAACGCACGTTAGTGCTACATTTTCCGATAGACACGGCCTTGCAAGTGAGCCGTGACATTCTCACGTTAAGAGCTCGTGTCTTGCGCAGTGGCCCACGCTAGCCACGACTTCGCCACGACCAGCTGCAAGCCAGTCGGGTTTTATTTAAGCGTTTGTTGTGTAGCACAGCCTGCGATGCCAAATTAGACGTTGTCCGGACTATGAACAGCCCGTGTGCCAATGGTTTATCGACATCCTCGCCCGCTCGACGAAGCGTTGCCTGTCTGCGTCGGCTCTGCTGGGCACGGCGGCAATGGTGACGGAAAAGACATGCGAGAGAAGGACGCTAAACTTGAGGTGAGCACAATTTGTCCTTCCTCGACGTGTACGCAAATGCTGCAGCAGCTTTTGAGCGTGCGTGTACTGGACCAACACCGACTAAATTTCAAGGCCGCAGTGACTTCAGAGGGTGGGGGCCCAGTTTCGCCGCGAATGTGGCGGAAAGCCAGTGTTTCGTTCACGTTTTAGGAGAACCAACACTGCCGCTGTCGCAGCTGCTGCGGCTAGATTGGGCCGAATAAAAGATGTGGGGAAAAAATCTTACTCAGAATACTCACTAAGATTTTTTTCCCCATCTTTTATTAGGCCCAAGATGGGGAAAAAAATCTCACCGAGCTTGCTGAGTAAGATATTTTCCCCCCACATATTTTATTCGGCGCAATCTAGCCACAGCAGCGGCGACAGCGGGAGCGTTGGTTCTCCTAAAACGGCGAAACTGGGCCCCCACCCTCTGACGTCACTGCGGCAGCCCTGCGGCCTTGTAATTCAGTCGGTGTTGATTGGACTGTACCATGCGTGAGTGAGAATGCTCGCGTGAGCGGCTGTTGCTGCATGTCTTGAGAGCAAGCATCGTTAAGTTGTTAAAACGGTAGATAACGAGAGTGCGCTAAAGTTTAGTTAAAGAATTTTCCCTTTAACTTTTTTCTATTCGCGTGGCGTCGGTACGACATTAAACGAACAAGCAAGACTCCCTTAACGGTTTTTCACCAAAGCTAGTTGATTGGTTCACGATTAGCACGGGTTCGAGCTGCGGGACATAAAACGAGAAACAAAAGGAAGACAGACGATGACGCCGATGTCCCTCTTTGTCCCATGGCATGCTTTCAGTTGCGCTGCTTGAATCAGTGTTAGCGAAGCCCAACTTCTTTTGTTTCGCACGTCACCACGGTGCGGCGCTATTTGCGGCCACTGGCCAACAAACGGCTAATTCGTCGCGCCCTCGCGTGACGCGAGCTTCCTTTCATCACCGTGACAATGTACCGCAACCGGGACCAACCTATGCATGCGACAACACGCATGGCTCATTTTAGAGCTAATCACCTCAGGGTTCCGGCTTGTCATATCGTCACGGCCCATCATAAACGATTGTTATAGCGCAAGAACAGAACGACGACAAAGTCTCTTTGTCGTCGTTATGTTGTTGCGCCCAAACCACCACGGGTGTGCGCCACAAAAAGGGGTAAGGGCCACTATTCGCTACCGGTCCATACTATGCTTATTATGAGTCAAAGGTGAGTCGTTAATGCTAAAAAAAAAAAAAAAAAACATTGTTTTGCTCAGCAGTGGTGCCAGAAGTCCAGAGAAAGTTTACCAAGGAGCTAATTTTTCTTATCTGAAGCCAGACACATAAACCCGAATCTTTACGTGGCGAAATCGTTCATTTGAACCAGCAATCTTTGAAGCATATTTGCAAAGTGATAGTGTGTTAGTGGACCGGCGGCGAGTAAAGCATTTAGCGAAGAGTAAAGACTTTTGCTGTGTGAACACCGCCGCACGTAGTACGTTAAGAGCTGCCACAGTCGCTCTCGCATCCCGACAACACTGCTGCTGTGGCCGTTTTGACGCACACGGCAGCAGATTTGGCGGGGTATACGCGTTAACTGACGATACACGCGGCGACAAGGCACTGCGCCGTGGTTTGGTGCATTGCTTGAAGCGTCTTCGCTACGCTCGCTTTCAAAAGACAGTAAATTGTTAGCAGCCGCGAGGGAGTGTATAAAAAGTGCGTGTGCTTTTTTTTTTTTTTTCGTCACACTTCGTACACCCTCCGGCGAACGCGGCCACATCAAATTCTTGGCGAAAACGACAACGAAGGCGACCAACCCGTAGGGTGAAACTGCACACGCGTGTAAGGTGGACCACCTCGTTCACTAAACGATCAAAGCTTATCATACTCGGGATAACGCGGCAGCAAACTCGGCGGCAGCTTGAAAGAGACGACATCAGCGATTGGTACTGTCTCGGCCGCCGCATCGGTGCTATCGCGGAACGATGCCTTATGCTTTGCTAATCTTATCGTCCAACACTCGCAACTGGCTGATGGCGTTGATAACGTGGACGGACCGTTGCCCTGACTATACTGGCCAAGCAGGAAAAGCATTGGCACCGGAAAATGCGTCGTTTTGCGGTTGTTCCCTCTTTGTGAGCAGCTGAGAACATCTTTAAATCTGCGCTTGCCATTAGTGACGCCTGCAGGGAGCCCGTTACAGGAGCTGGAGCACCCCTTGATTTTCACATTTACATTACAATTACTTCTAATAACAAGCTATACGTTCCCTGATATTATTGTCTGTTAGTTCTCATTAGAAATGTGTCTAACAACAACAAACCACGAGAAAACATGCCACTTCGCCACAATTTTCGATGTCACATGCTATAGTCTTTACACCCATCGGGTCAAGAAGTGTGGTGTTGCGTGGGTGAGGTGTACTCACTGACGTGCGGCACCGTGAGCGCCACGGAGAGCACGTGGTAGGCGGCGCCCAGGTCTATGCGCCACCAGCGGGGCGGTTGGTAGGTGGTGTAGAAGCAGCTGCTCTTGGAGCCGTCCAGCGCGTTCCCCGGCGGGTAGGCGTACAGGTAGCCGGACGCCTCCGGGATGCGTTGCACCGTCAGGCTCGTGTCTGCATGTGCGCCAGAACATACTCGTTTAATTAGGGAACGATGGGTGTTCAATGACCCGTGCCTATATCCTCTCGCTCCTATTGGAAGCTTTCAGAAAGACGCACTCTTTTTTTTTTTTTTCATGAGGAGACACACAGTGTGAGAAGCTCGCTGATAATGACAATGATTAACTGTCAAATTAAACATGATGACCTAAAGACGATTTTTATATAATATATAGGTATGCGTAGGGTTCTTCACTAGGGCGGGAGATATCTTACCGCAGGACCTCACCCCACAAGCCCCCCTTTCCACTGAAGCCCTTCTCCACTGCGCAGTGCAAAAAAAACAAAAACAAAAAACAAACAAAAAACAAGGTATTAAAGGAAGGTTTTGAGGTGTACTTCTCTCCCAGTATACGCATGTCTATGCCAGTTTTAGCTCGTTCGTACTCGTACTGGACTCTCTCCGGCCGGGTTTGTTATGAACTCATTTTACGATAGTATGGAGCGTGGATGTTTCACTTGTTCGTTGTAGAGAGTACACTTAATTACTTCTATCCAGATTCATTGTATGCTGAGGTTTGATTTGGTCGTCGTTCACGGACTACTGGAGTTGCAAATTTAGGAGGAGCGCTGTTCTTATTGTGACGTTCAGCTCATCAAGGGCTCGTAGATACGTGAAATATGCGTTCGAATCTCATCTGCGGGAAGGTTAAGGTACTAGAATTAACGTGGTACAGTAATAATAAGTGACTAGAAGCGATAAGTACATATAAAAAATTAAACGTGAATTAAGGTTTGTCAAATACAGTCAAAAGATAATTAAAGCGGAAACAACGTTGTGAGCTGGGGTTAATGAACGTTAATCAAATGCGATTCTAGTGACTGAAATGTTAGCATAAGTAAACTGTGCGTAAACAGTAAATCCTGTGCGAATTAGCACCTCGGCTACCAAGAATACAGAACCAGTGGTGATATCTAAGCGACCCACCAAGAACAAGTAATAGAGTGTAGCAGAGCAATCGGCTGTGAAGCGCAACTGAAAGCATGCATGTATACTGTATTTTTTTTACTGCTCTAAGACGCACATATGCGGTTTCAATCTGCCCGTAGCCCACGTATACGTAAGCACTACGCACCGCAGACGGGTAGCGCCCCGGACCAGGTTCCATTGTCGAGGCACTGGCGCGTGCTTTGTCCGAGCAGGTTGAATCCCGAGTCGCACGTGTAAGAAACGGTCTGGCCCTTTTCGTACGAGTCCCGGATCAGACTGATGCGGCCGTACGCCGGCCTGCCCGGGAAACCGCACTGCTGCAATTGCTGCTGTTGCGTTCCTGCAGGAGAAAAAAAAAAAAAACTACGTGTAAGACACGAGAGGGATACCATGAAACATACATGTATGTGACACTATATAAAAATTAAGGGTTGGAACCAACTCAGGTTGTTGGCCATCTATATTGCAGAGCAACGAAATAATTGAGTTCAGACTCAGTGCAGACAGTGCTGCTGCTGTATAACAGCGAACGACCGATATTAGCTGATATCAGCTATTACCATAATTTAGCCATCATCTAAACATTTGAGAAAACTAGTCAACATTAGCAATCATTAGCCAACACTGGTCATTACTTAGCCAACACTCGTCGACAATATCAATCAGTCATCACTAGTTTGGTAACGTTATATGGACTATGTTAACAGTCTTGTCATACTACGCAAGTCAGTGTGGTAGATCAGAGCGCCCCTGGTATTAGTTTTTCGTTTGCTTGGCTATATGCCCTCGCACTTAAAAACACCGCGCTACAGGCATCGTGGTCATGTATGCGTGAGGCCTTCAGTGTTCCCTTTAATGATTAGATGACTAGGAACAACATTAATTCATTGACTTTTGCACTGCAATAAAGGTGGGGCGAGTGTAGTTATCTCACTACTGTTAATTTCAATGACACTACTGCTAAATTCGTCACGATAGGTGAGAGCAGATAGATAGCATGATCCTTCTCCCTTACGTTTAATGTCGAATAGATGATGTTGCAGCTGGTAATTAGGTGTGCGAACCTCGTAATCTTACCCAGCGGTCCAAGCTAGTGCTTAACTGGGTGGTAAATCAGCACTGCGATTGACTTGCAAATGGCGTAATCGGACACGCCCTGCGGTTTCGCTTATACTCTTATAATAGTGCAGGTACAATAATGTGATGACCGAGTGCACGCTCCCTGTGTCTGGCTATAAGGCCTTTGAGAGGCAAACGTGTATAAACGTATAGGAACCGGAGAAGAAAGCGTATAGGAAATAACGTGACACCAGGATCTATAACTATTGTGCTGGCACGGGAACGTACGTACGTATAGGCAAATTAGGGGGGCGAGGTCATTCGCTAGAGCAAGATGGCGTAACATTGACACGGCGGCTGATGCGAACGCACCCCGCCTCGTATGATTGCGCAAGGTCGGTGTTTGCAGTGCAACGGTTCGACCGAGACGCTGTGTTTAAACGTGGCTGCGTTTAACCGCGGCAACGCTTAAAACGCGTTCAACGCCGTTCCCAATGATACTTCCAGGGTGTGTTGACTGACTTGCATAGACAGTCGCAACCGTAATGCGAAGGTTGTTAGTTTGGTCACTATACACTGAGCTGGGTTGTTTCTTTTTAAATCCACTTTCATTCGTTTCACTGTACCTGATAATTACTCAACATTGATTGAGAACTACAAACCAATCCCCCTACGCTTCCGTTGGCTTCGTTGTTTGTCGGCTTCGTGTCTTTATGCCCGTAAAAAAAAAAAGTGCCTTACAATAGATTCCTCTTCTTTAGTCGTAAACGTGACAATGCTATACACTGGCATCCACGGAGGTTCAACCCCCACCGTATTTTAAGATATTAAATTGTATGTCTATATATACACGCATACATGTAAAAGCACAGACAATCGAACTTTATGTGTGGTCGGACCACCTACCGAAAAAAAAATTTTTTTCTGGCTACCCCCTCATCCCCCGCTATGCAACACGATGCAAGGGCAACGTAACAGTTGAATACGTCTGAGCTTCAGAATACCCCTAGTGCTTCGGAAACCCTGCAACAGGGCCCAAGGATGGATTTTCCGGCACTGCCGTGGCTTCGTGGACAAAGACTCAGCCTTGCGCATGGCGCCCGCATCCTGTCAGAGCTGTTGCGTATCGAGACCGATGGTCTATTCGACACGGTCGTTGCACTATGTGATAGATCAGCGAACCTCAGCGCCGTCGTATATTTTCGTACCGAACTGTATGCATCGACCTTCGACCGCTTCTGCGACGGCCTCTGTACGAAACACACATGCGTCCTTGTCGTCGCTTGCTTTTCCCACCTCGCTGTGCCACACACCGTTGGATGAATTGTGCTTGCGCGACACAATCGACCCGCATCAATGTCGCTCGTGCTCGGCAAACGAGCCGTCCGATCCAAACGTGTTCCGTCGATCGTCTCTCCAATCGAATGTAGTGCCAACCGCTTCTGCAGTCCGTCATCACTCGACAGAGTGCACCGCGTTGTGAATGGCCGCAAATTGCTTTCGATTGCGAAAAGATGTTCGCCTGCCTCAAACGCACGGGCGTGAGCAGAGTTTTTCCGATAAAAAGGGGGAGGGGGGTCAAGTTTTTTTTTTCTTCGCAATGTCTTACCCACTCCCCGTCGGTCGAGCTTGGAAGAAACGTTTTATTACGAATGCCAAAACGAAAATGAAGCCATGACGTGCCTCCCCAAACGGCCTGCCTTTGGTCCCCAGTGTGTTCCTTTCCTGAGGTAAAGTCGAACACAACTTTAAATGTCCACGGCATTTGTTTTTTTAAATGCGGATGCGTACAAATCTGCACCCACGCACTGCCTATAGACGTCATGAGCCGATGACTCTTCGGAGAACAAGGTTCTGTGTATGAGCGGCAACAGGTCTTCAGCGCTTTGGTCTTTTGAAGGAGTCTCTCCTATCTGACATTATTGCCAAAAAACTTAGATGATCATAGCTCTTCATATAAACAATGACGAGACAGGTCCAAGTGAGTAAAAGAATGAAACAAACTTGGCAAACCACCGTTGGAGGGCTAAAAAGAAGGCGCACTAGCCCACCTCCTACTCTTTCCCATTCCTGCACGCACGCCTACACCATTGTGTAACGGCTCGAGGATGGAAGGTGCTTCGCCGGATGAGAAATGCGGTGCTGTTCTGCAGTGCGGACGCATTCTTGGATCGTGAGGATGCCTGCGTATATAGTCAAAGGCCACGCGCGTACCACTCGTACACGTTCGTGCGTCTGTCGAGTGAAGGACGCAGCCGCGTTTCGCTCGACGTGGCCGGGAGGCCGACGATGCTCAATGGAGACGTTGCTGTCGGCGATACCGGTGCAAAACAAACACTGCGCGAAAAGAAACGGGAACAGTAAAAAAACCGACTTGCACGAAGAGCTGTGTGTAAGTCAGTCTTTCTTGTCTCAGATTTTTTTTTTCGTCCTGTGTTTGTTTTGTAATGCCTCAATACTGGACTTACAACAGGAAGGAATCATCACATATAACGAAATTACCGCTTATTATAGATAGAATCACGAAACACACATGTCTTCGCGCGCGGACCTAATGAGGGAACAGACGACCACGTGGAGACAAATTTAAAGAGATCATTTGATCATTTTCCCAACCCTCATAGGCTATATAAGTTTACCGCCATGAAGTGCAAAGAAACTGCCGACATTGCAGCTGCATGAAGGCTACACAGAAGCCCCATCTCTGGCAATGTAAGGGAAACAATCCTCCAAAGACGTTGCAGACGTGGGAGTCAGCCCTGTCGGCAAACAACTGCAGTAATCGCGAAGACTTGATCAAGTGGCCCGAAAAGGTCGTGGAAACCTCCTGGGCACCACTCTTCGAACAACTGACAAACTAACTTCAAGCGCTTCATTGTGTCACAAATAAGCGGCGTGCGCGAAACGGATACCGACGCATCAAAGTTTCCACACTAATATAATATCGGTGCGTCACTGGTATCCCCGTGAAGCGTATGTGCAGGTGCGCTTGGAGAAGTAGCCCAACAGCTATAGGGAATGTTCGTGGAGTCAACGTTCCTCACTCACTATATAGTGGTTTTGGGACGTTAAACCTCACATATCAATCAATCAATCAATCAATCAATCAATCAATCAATCAATCAATCAATCAACCAACCAACCAACCAACCAACCAACCAACCAACCAATAAACCAATCAATCAATCAATCAATCAATCAATCAATCAATCAATCAATCAATCAACGTTCCTCACTCACTCACTTACTCACTCAGTTGTGCACTTAAAAATTCAGCGTTGTCCGAAAGAGGATGATTGTTTTATATGTGCACGGGGTTTAACGTCCCAAAACCACCATATGATTATGAGAGACGCCGTAGTGGAGTGCTCCGGAAATTTCGACTACCTGCGGTTATTTAACGTCCATCCAATTGTGAGCACACGAGCCTACGCCATTTTCGCCTCCATCGAAAATGCAGCCGCCGCAGCCAGGATTCCATTTCGCGACCTGTGGGTCAGTAGCTGAGTATTAGCATGCACTAGACTACCGCGGCAGGACATTGACCGAAACAGGAGTAAGGCTATATAGTTTGGTAAACAGAGAGGTTAAGCAACACTGTTTTTCAGAACCTTTTTTCCCCATCGAGCTCACGTCGAAAGAGCCGCATTTTCCTTTTAAACCGACCACGTCTCCCACCCGGGAAGATGCTAGCTTTAGAATCAAATCAAACTTTATGCTGAGTATCGTGGCCTAAAATTCGCGACATGCAGGGGGGATTCGCACAAGTGTTATTACCACGTAGTACATCAGCTACCGCTTCTTCATGTTGTAGTGAAGTCACGTTGTAGCCAGTAGATAACAGTGGAGGAGACAGTGGGCGTTAACAGCGGAAACCGCGTCGTCCCACGGAAAGCAACAGTATCGCAGCGATCATCGAATGGTGTGCTCAAACAGCAGTGCGTGCACCGTATGGGAAGCTGCGCACCCACCCAACAGACGCAGCAGCAGCAATGCACACTCCGATGATGTCAAGGGCCGCTCGCTAGGCCTAGATTCCGCGCACGTCCGCGCTTATAACATGTGGGGCGAGAATGTCGGCAGCGGGCAAGCGCTCACGTTCATCGCTGCACGTCTCGGAAGAACAATGCCCTGGACGCTGTTGCGGAGGCATCGCAATGTTCGTAGTGTCGTTCGCTGCCGCCTGTCCCATGTGTGGTGCTGTCGCCATAAAATCTAGCTCTCGCTTCTTCACAACTAGTTCCCATCCCACGAGAATGAGACATGTACAGTGCAGTGACCGAATTCACAAGGAATTCGTTCGTGAAGAGAGGACGCCTGGTCGCCTTCGATAAGGTGTTAGTTTTACCGTGTCGCAATTGGGTATAGACCTTCGGGTGTGTTAATATTAATAACTGGT